AAGCATTTGAAATTAAATAATATCTTTGTTTTATTGAGTTTTGTATGTTACAATTTAGAGCTGATTTTTCAGGTACTGCGTATCTAATTAAAAACAAAAAAAACATGATTTGCATTCCTCAAAGCCCTGTGCTTTTAATTATTGTAATCACTAAAACCGATGCGATCGAATTTCTAGCGTTTTCATAAAATTAGTTATGGGGGGTAATAAATATTTTTAAAAAAATATTTCTACCATGACTTTCATAAAAAAAACATATTTATAATAATTTCGATCATCTGTGAATAGTTCCTGAAAGTTTCATTAACATCCGATAATTATTTCTATTTTTGCACGATTTTTCAAATTAATGTGTGTCATACTAAAAAAAAAAAAAAACGTGCTAAAAATTGTCTATGTTATTTACTAGTTCCGCTGATACAAATAGAAACAAAGTTTTTTTAATCAAAATTTAGAATATTCTAAAAAGAAGGAAAATTTTTTAAAAATAATTAAAAGAACCTTTGGTCTTTACTCTTAATAATAACATAAGCATTTAGACAATAAAATTTTGTTTTCGGCAAGGTTGGCGTCTTTTTCATCAAGCTATGCTCTTTTTTTAGCGATTTCGTGGAGGTACCTAAGTTATAATGAACAATATATAAATCACTTTTATTTAATTAATCAATTCTACAAATTCCAAATCTTGAAATATTGCTTGAAAAACATTTGCTCATAAAAAAATAAAATTATTTTCTATTCAGAAGATGCAAAAAATATGAAACAATTATGAAAATCGAGAACAGGTTATGAATTGTTAATAAAGTTTTGTGTTATTGGTTTTTTTTTTTTGTACATAAAACATTGTGTTTTACATTCTAACAGAATTCAATGACAGATGAGTGCTTATAAATAAAATAATTTTTAAGCTTCTGCAATTTTAGGCTCTATTTTTGTAAAATTCTGCCTGAAATGCTACTGTTGAAGGCAATATATCTACTGTTATATCTTGTGTGTGTGTGTGTGTATATATATATTATATATATAAAGGGTTTTTTTTTTGTTTGTTTTTTTTTCTTTCTTGAAGGAAAGTCTTTTATTTGGTCTGAAGAAATGCTTGACCATGACTTGCAATTTCTCAGTAAAATTCTAACTTCCATAATTTTTTTTTTTTCTGCATTTTATAGTGGTTATTTTTAGAATTATAATTTGATGTTTGCTACAAGAATTTTCATAAGCTTCATATCATTTAATAGTATATTAACAAATAATGAGTTCAATCATTTTATGGCTTATGAGAATAACATTAGATTTAATTCTAGAAAATTCTCAAAAGAGGGTGAAGCTCCTTTCCTTAACCCATTAATGCCCACCATAAAATCTAAGATTTAGTTTAAAAATAAAAATCCAACCTTAATTATAGGTTTTTAAAAATGATCTGGTATTATTATAGGTTTCTACCTATAACTTATTAAATTGTGGCATGGGCTTAATGTGTTGATGGATTTATTTGGCTTGCATTTAATAGAAATTAGATACCTAGTGTTTATATAGCATAGAAATAGCAAGAGAGCTGTTCATTTGAGTTTATTTACAGTGCTAACATCTTTTTACATAAAATTTTCAGTATCTAATAGAAAAAAAAAGGATGCATTCAAGATAGAACAGGTTTTAATTTTAAATATAACATTCTAAAATATACAGAATGAAAATAAAAAAAAGTACTTGTAAAATTTCATGAAAGATTTTTTAATACACGCATTTTAATACTAACCACTAATTTTTTTTTTTTTTTTTTTTTAACTATGGAAAGGAAACTACAGAAGGTAGTGAAGGAAGGCAAGAAGGACTAAACATGAACTACAAGATAGAATTCATGGTTATTAGCAAAAGGATGAGCCAAAAATGCAAATTACAAATTTGATAATCAAAATCAAACGAGTACAAAAATTTAAGTATCTGGGAAGTGTTCTGACAGAAGATGGAAAGTGCGACACTGGCATCTGAAAATGCATTGAGATAACCAAAGATGCATTCCAAAAGCTAAGCAGAGTACAAGAGACAGAAAAACCTTGTTAGAAACAAAGAAAAAAGTACTGAACTGTTATGTGATATCTGTTCTCCTATATGGCAGTGAATGTTCGACAATCTCCTCGAAGGAGGCTTGAAGCAACAGAAATGTGGTTTTACAGAAGGGTGCTGAGGATACCATGGAACAAAATTGTGAGCAACGATGAGGTTTTAAAATAAAAATGGAAACTGAAGGAAAAATTTAACATCAGGAAGGAACAGTTGAAATTTCTGGGGCACATAATGAGGACTTGGAAAATCTGATATTCAAGGACAGAAGAAAACAGTGCATCATAACACATGTGATTAGCTTAAGTAAATGAATGGTGGAAGGATTTAGGAGAGGAAACGAAAGGGCAACATTTATTAAAAGCAGGAAGTTGTGGAGAGCCATGATCGCCCATGTCCTGAAAGGACATGGAACATAATGTATTATAGAAATATCATATATACTCATGGATAGATCATACTTTTTTTTTTTTTTTTTACCAAAAATTTCACAAAACATTAGGGGTGTGACCTATCCACTCAACATAAATATAAAACAACACTACCTTGTCATCATGATTTCTGAGAAATTAGAAATGATACCCAAACACCAAAGCTGTGATTTTTCTTTGTATAGAAACAATTTATCATACATACTGACTCGCTACTTTAAACTTACATTTTGCTAGATTCAGATATCCATCACAATAAATAAATAAAATTATAAAATATTCATTGATCCCTCAGTCACCGTTTGGTCGGAGTCCTTGCACTAGACTGATATAGTAATCCTGAACATGCATACATAAGTTAAGAAACCATGTGTAGATGTTTATTGACAAAGAAAAAATAGTCCTACAATTCATTCTGCAAAATTATATTTATTTTGTGAAAAATATGTTGGAAAATGACTTAAAGAAATGAAATATATTCTTTGAGATAATTTTCTTTAATGGTTGTTTCATATAATATTAAAAGGCATTCTTAAGTGTTATTTACAAATAATAGTGCATTAATCTAGTACCCAAAACGTTTGCACTATTTTGCATTGCACAGCTATATAGTTGGTAACCAAATTTATAGTTTATAATTTTAACTGTTACAGATACTAATCATGAGTAAAAGAAGTAGTTGTGAAGCAGGTTTCAAATTAAAAGTAATAAATTATGCAGAAGAACATGGAAATCTGCAAAAGTGTATTAATAATTGTAAGTTTTGAAATAAAGGTGGATATCTGATAATTCTTATGTCTAAAAGGTGCTGTGTAACTCCCCAGATTATAGTGCAACCTATCTGCGAGTTGACAGTAAATCATCAATTTTGCTTTGTTTTGGGTTTTCATTTTGAAATAACTAAAGCCTGTAACTAGAGAAAAATCTTTTTACATGTCACAGCTAAAACTTTCACCGTATGGCTTTCTAAGAGTTTTGTTTCTGCTCATTTCCAGTTTTTACCACAAAATATACACAATGTGCAATTCATAAACATTTAGTCTATTTTAATGTTGAAATTTTTTTTCTGGTAAAAGGTAAACCTGGCTTTACAATGATGAAAGAATTAAAATTACAGTTTTCAAACTTGCTCAAAATCTAAAAACCTTTCCTGTTCAGACTCCCATGGGAGTTACATGTAACAAGAGCAGTTTATTTTGTATTTACAAAACCTCAATTGAGTTTTGTCCTGAGAATTATCTCTTATGAAGTTGCATTTTCAGTTTTGTTTAAAATTATAATTTTTGCCAAAAGCTTTCACTGTTGATTGATGCAAATGAAATTAATGTTTATGACTTCAATCTAAAAATGATTTTTGGAATATATACCGTCTTCAGATAAGAAATATATTCAAAATAATTTTAAGTTTTGTAAATCTTAAGAGATGCACAACAATAAATCCAGAAAATAGTGAAGAAAAATTTGAAGAAAGGTAAATGTACACTCATTAAGTAAAAACATGTATGATGTTTCTTATTTGAAAAATAAAATAAAAACTTCTAAAATTGATAATTGGCTGCAACACTGAACTCTTACACCTTTGAGATTTGATTAATGCATTAGAATCAAAATACCAATTGCATTTTCAAATTATGCCCTAAATTCAGTTCTATCCATTGCCAGATCATTTTCAGGAAAATTTAACAATGATTTAAAAGATGTAAAATACATTTTTTATATATATATATATATATATATATATATATATATATATAGTGTGTGTTATCTCAATGATTTATAGAAAGCAGCATTTATTTTTGGTTTATCATCATAAGTAACTCATTTTATCTATTGTTCCACTGTTTGAATAGTTTTCCTTTGATAAAACCAAAAATTAAATTGAATAAGATTCTTCCACCTCCCTCTCTTACAAAAGAGCCAGATTGTTCCAAATTAGAGGAAATTGTGCACTGAATTCTTAACTAATGGCTAATTTTCACTGCTTTATCAATGGGTCTGTGAGAATTACATTTTAAGTTAATCAATATGGTGGAGTCATCCAGAATATTTAACTGGTCTATTTTTATCCATTATTTGTGCTATTAAAACAAGAATTAAAATGTTATGATTAAATTAGTTATATACTTACATTTTATTTATATATATATATATATATATATATATATATATACACACACACACAAAAATGATACAAGACCTCCATCTTATTTTAATTTACTCTGATGCGTTTTAAAAAAAGAAATGGGTATTCAGTTGACCTTTTTCAGACACTGAGAACAAGTTAATTTATTTAAACCTACTCCAAAATTTATTTTGAATCTTGTTAATGTTTTTACTGTTTTCCTTGTAATTTGGGCAAGGCTTTGTATTTTGTTAAAATTCTTAAAATGTAATAAACATCCTATAGTCAGCTGTGGTTTTACAAGACATTAATAAAAAATTTTCTTTTCACTTTGAAGTTATTTTATTTATTTAAAAGCTTGTCTAATTTTCCTTTTTCTTTCTTTTCAGATGACCTCCAGTGACAAAGACTTTCGTTTTATGGCTACAAATGACTTAATGGGAGAATTACAGAAAGATTCTATAAAATTGGATGATGATAGTGAAAAAAAAGTAAGTTTTTTTTTTTTTTACTTTCTTTCTTTCTTTCTCTATTTTTCCCTTTCACTATTTACACTTAAATCTTGTATTTATTAAGATTGGGTTTGTTTGACACAAGGCCAAACAGAAGAGGGGTATTGTAGGAAATGATTGTTATGCCAGTAAATGAGCAGGAGTTTAGCTTAAAAATAAATATTCAAAAAAAACTAATCACTTCATTTTAGATCACATCTGTTAGATTTCTGACAGCACTTGATTACACTCATGTGAATTTATTCCTCACTGGGTGCTCCATTAATACATTTTGCATCTCCGCCCCTATCAGTGTAAATCCAATAAATATCAGTAAATAGTTACCATAAGACTGGTTAAAATCTCACTAAAGACAATTTGTTAGGGAAGTGACTTCTGGATAACATCAGTGTTAGGAGGTGATCACAACATAACAGCACAGTTGTTCCTGAAAACCATAGTGAGTGAAATAGGGTAACTGAAACTGTTCAGAAAAATGTTGATGGTTGTGCTAGCACAAAATCACAAGTCATCACAGTTACAGTGTAAATCCCAGGTTGTCTCTGTGGGTGTTGAAGAAACCAAAATATGTCTGAGCAGGAGAGGCATATACTTTGGTATGAATGACCAGGGATACATACATGTGTATAATATAAACAATGGGTTAAATCAGTCTATGAACCCTACAAAAAATGTATAAATTTGAATGTTTATAGTCTTAAGAATGACAAAATTCAAAGAATTGCAAATAAAAGAATGGTTTACGGCCATATCACGTTGAAACATCAGTTCTCATCCAATCAGTGAAGTTAAGCACTGTCAAGTCTAGTCAGTACCTAGATGACTGTTTGGTAATACTAGGTGCTGTAAGCTTGGAATTGGAAATCAGAGAGACAATTTCCAATTTCATTCAGATTTGTTATATTTGCTTAAGTTCAATTTCCTTGGGGAAACCTATAAATCCACCTCTTCTTTTCCAGCTATGGGTTAATTAGTAAGACTTTTATCAGTAAATCATAATTTTCAAAAAACTTCTTAGTATCTAAAAATATTTTCTGACTTGCAAGAGATTAATAAACCATGAAAAACAAATCGATCGAATAAAAGAAATTTGAGAAATTAAAGTTAATAGTTGCTTATATGGCCTTTAATACATTTTTATGATGATACAAAGTTATTGGAGCAACTGGCTGATATTAACCATTATTTACATATTACCTTTAAATCAGTGATCTTTTGCTAATGTTTTCCAATATGAGTTTTTGGTTCTTTCCATAAATTTTTCATTTGGATTAAGATCTGGTTCTGCTCAAGAATATTTCTTAGTCTCATAAGCTGTGTGTTTGGGATTAATGTCCTGTTGAAACATCCAGTCATGTCCCATGTGTTTTCTAGCAGAGATAATGAAATGTTCATCCAAAATATTGACACATTTTGAAGAATTCTTGGTTCCTACAATGATAAGATCCTCTATGCCTGCTGCTGAAAACATTCTCATCCTGTCACTTAGCTGTTCCCCAGTGGCAGTGTTGTACAGGACAAACCACACTTTTCTGAAGAACCAAACACAGAACTGGTATACATAATATGCAACAAGATCTTCAAATGAATCACCTTGAGTTTTGAATTCTGCATTGTCCTCTGGTTTCCAACCAAGGCAAAAAAAGCCCAGAATTTAATACTATTTATCTAGGTATCTCCACAGATTCATGATACCTAAAGTTTAAAATGAATTTTTAAAAGTGAAAAATCTTTCTTGAAGCTTCTATGTTAGTTTTAGTTTCAAGTTAGTATATTAAATTTAATATTTCCAATAAGCAAAATACTTTACTCTATTTCAAAATTAATTCAAATCAACTGGAAGGAGTTTTTGTTTTGAAACTTGATTTTAGTGCTATGTTTAGCCACCTGTCATCAGAAATATAATTCTCTTTATTAAAAAAAATCTTCCAGAAATAAAATATACTTTTCTGAATCTTAATTTGAGGAATATTAACTGATTTAAAGTATAATTAATCTGATTTGAAACCAATATTATTTTAAGTTTAAAATATTGCAGAAATGCATTTTCAACACAGCTGCAGCCATTTATTTAAGCTGTTCCGGTGTTGACAGATTCATGACAGATGGATGTTTATCTAATCTTGTTCTACAGTGGTCTTATCCTTAATTGAAGAATATAGCATGAACAACCTTTTATATATAATTTTTAAGTACTCTGTAATCTTAAAAATTTAGCAAAATATTCTCTGCAATATTTATTGAATTTTAAATGTTTTGGCCTTAAATTTACTGTAGTTATCATATTTTCTGATAATGCCATGTATGAACAATTCTATCAATAAAAATGTGCATGTTCATACACATACAAAAAAAATTCAAAATTCTTTTTAAAATATTGGTGCTTGATGAATTGTACTAAGCTTTTCCATTTATTAGTAAATATAATTTTTACTTAATAATATCATCTAAAAAGGTGAAATTAATACAGAATTTTAAGATCTAAAACTTAAATTATTCTAATTAAAAAAAAAAATATAGGCAAGAACATAATGATTATAATAATAATAATAATGCATATGAATATCTGGTACTTTCTTTTCTGTTGTGTATAGGCTCCATGTGACCAACAAATTCTTGGCTACTGTGCTGACAGCATTCAGTTGATAATGACTGAAATTGTCAAAAGCACTTGAGAGAGAGGGTAGAACAAAACGACATTTCAGAGTGTTTGGGTGTCAATCTGAGGATCACTTTAAATTTTATCATACCTAACAGAAATAAAGAAAATATGAGCAGGAATTATTCTGAAAAGCTTTCAGCCTGGTGGTCCACTTTCCAAAATGTGATTAAATGATGACCATATATTGGAATATTTTTTTCTCTTTTTAATAATCCATCCTTAACTTGACAAGGAACTTTCCAGTACACCCCTCATAAATGTTGTATTTTGTTGTAAATTGTGTTAAGTTTATGGTGTGGGGTGGGTAGTAAAGTTTACATACCAAGCAGTTCATCTTTCAGTGGGTTACTTTTTACTCATTTCAGTTAATCTTCTGAATGAAAAAGTAAAGCGCAAGTATTTGGGTGTATGTAACATTGAGGCGGTGAAGTAATTGTGAAATTAGTTTCATATTTTAAGGTAGAAATCTTACTAAAAAGCATATTGATAAGGGGAAAAATTTATTAACTGAGCTTTATTCTGACCTTAATTTGTGTGTGTGATAGGTAAATTGTTGCCATCTTATATTTTTAATTTTGCCTATATGCATTGTTTGTTTTTTATTTTGTTGACTGCACAGTATAGTAGGGTCAGTTGGGCACCATCTGTGAGAAAAAGAGCACCATGATGCAATTCATTCCTCCAAAAATCTAGAAACAGCATGCTGTATTGTTTGGCATTTGCACCAGAAGCTCCAATACAAACATTTTAGTGTGTTTGGGTCTCAATCTGAGATTCAGATCTGGAAAGAGTTGGAATAGTTTAATGGTGATGTAGTTATGGCCTCTCAGAAAACTCACTCTGATCTTTTCTGATAAGTTGGTGAGATCCAGGTCATGATTGGAAATTATCCCTCTAGGCCAATTAGTTCTATAAGCAGGGAGGTAGTGCTGCCCTGGGTCAAGAGGGTGGCTGATGAAAGACCGTATATCTGGCAACAGGACTCTGTACCCTGCCACACAAGCAGGAGAACCCAGTTTTGGCTGTCAGAGAATTTCTCTGACCACGTCACCCCATTCATCTAGCCACCTAACTCCCCAGACTGCAACCCCCTTGATTATTATGTGTGGAGTGCAGTTGAGCAAGAGAGCAACAAAACTCCTTTAACACCAAAGATAAACTGAAAACAAGGATTATGGCAGCATTCACCAACTTAAATGAGGAGACTGTCCAGAAGAGTTGCAGGAGATTCCAAAGTGGTCTTGAGACCGTGGTTGAAGCTAATGGACATTTTATTGAATAAATGTACTCTTTATTTCCAGATATTTTTGTGTAATTTTGGTAAATACATCTGTTAAAATGAGATGTCAGTGCTGTTTTCAATTTTGTGTAATTTAGACAATTTATTCACCGCACCCTGTATACATAATGAATTCTTTCATTTTAAAAGTATGGTTATCTGACTAAATATATGGTAGATATTTCAAGATGTATTTATATGATAAATATACCATATAACTTAGCTTATAACGTCTGTTTATATTAAAAGTATTGACAATAGCTTTGGTTGCACAAATTTTTCTGCAACTTGTTTTTTTTTTTTTTTTTTTTAGATATAAATAAATAAATTGACCAGGTTTATAAAAAAAAAAAAAAAAAAAGTATAGCCTGAAGAGGAAAACAAGATATTGTAATGATTGGAACACGATATTTAAAGTTGGAGAAAAAAATGAATAGTGGTTCCAGAACAATAAAAAACTGAAAACCTTGTCAAAGTATGAACAAGAAGGAAAAACTGGCTTTAAAAATGTCAGCAAAGGATTGAGAAAAATCAAAAGGATAATAAATGTGGATTTACAATCAAGAAAATGTTTTGTTTTTTTTGTTTGTTTGTTTTTGGTTTTTTTTTTCTTTCTTTCTTTTAATATAAGCAGATAATAGGTGCAAAATATTATGACCATTCACTAAAGGCATGAAAGCAACCAAACTGCCACCATTAAATATACATCAAGAGAAATGTGAAAATTGGGTAAAGTACATGAAAACCTATTTCGTAATAATTTGTATTGATGAATGTTGAGCTACATTGGATTGACACCTGCTGGTTGGGTACAAAGTAGTGTCTTTCATGGAATTTGTTAATCTACTTAAAAGATATTGGGAGTGGGGGATTTACTTGTTTTGGTTTGGTATTGTGTGCATTAAAATTCAAGGTTCCCTCTTCAAATTTGATGGTGTCAGGATAAATACAGTGATAAGATGTTTTTTGATTGGTGTTGAAGCTTAAAGTTAAAGAATGTATATTCATGCAAGACAATGCTTCATCACATTGTCAAAAAAAAAGTTTCAAAGATACTGCATTAATGGAATAGCACCCAGCCTCTTCAAATATTAATCTGACAGAAAACTTGCAATCTATCAGTAACCTTTATCATGACTTCATTTGCAATAGTGTGTTTGAATTTCATAGTTGTGTTGTCATATCCTGCTATGGTAACAGAGAACTTTGAGTGAGAGGCCTTGAAAAAGAATGTAGTAGAAAGAGAAGTAATATTAAGTGTGATAAAGGTTTTAAAAAAACCTGTGCATGAAAATGGGAAAACTATTCAAGTAAACATCGGTGGGAAGCAATAAAATCTTTTATAAGATATGTTAAAGTCAAAAGAGTAGAAAACAAAATGAATGCTGAATGTGATAGAATATAAAAGAAACTATATCAACATGTATTAACATAATTTATTCCGGTATATAGGATATTGTATTAATCAAATGTTTTTGTGGCCTATATATCTGGTGTTTGTTTATAAAAAAAAAAAAAAAAAAATCTTAAACTTTGCATAGCCTGATATTGTTAAGACAAAGTATTAAGTCTTTTTAATTGCTGAAATATGGGCATGTAGCAAAGTGGTTCAAATGTTTGTTTTCTAACCTGGAGATCCAGGTTTGAATCTCACCATGGTTGATTTATCAGGAAAAGTGACTCATGATGTTATTGGCCTGGAGAGGCAATCTCAGTATGCAGCAACTTTAGAAAGTGCCTGGAAATCATACCATGGGTTGACCCAAGCCATATAAGTGAAAATGGGTAGCTGGATCTATTTGGGAGTCATCACAAGTTGAGCTAGCACAAAGTCACAAGTCTTCATGACAAAGGGTTTGAGTGCATTCACCATATTCAGGCTGTTGATAGTTCACTCTCTCCCAGGAACTAACTCAGCATAGTTGCAGTAAAAAGCACATGTGGGCTCCATGGGTGTTGAACAAACACAGATGTGTAGAAGAGCAAAAGGAAATGTATCCCACTTAATAAGCTTGTGTAAATGAATGGTAGAACAAGGGCTCTTGCGAAATAGTAAGGTGTCAGTAGTAAGGTTTGGAGCTACAAAGGACAAGAAGTTATGGCGAGCTATGATTGCTTATACTGAAAAAGGACATGGTATATAAAAAAAATTATTAGAATTATTTGAGCTATTTCTAATTTTTGCTGATATGTAATAAAGAAAAAAAAAGCATCCATAATATCTTGCTTCATTAGTAACTTTGCTCTTTCTGATATTTGTATTGTGTAAGCATTTATATGTGCACCAAATTGTCATTTGCAATTTCAATTGCTAGCTGAAGGTTGAAAATGAAAATGAACCACAGTTCTGTATATTATGAAAATATAGATTCCAAGAGGCTTAAATCATCTCATTCCCAGCTTCTGTTTCTACAAGCTAACTTATTTTGATCATGATTGAGGGTTACACTTCTGTAAAGCTCCAATTCCTGCATAAATGATTTTTGGAATTGGTTATTAATGAGTTTCAATTGGGTTATTGGTTTACTGTATTCAATATCATTTAAATTTCTTTCTGAATTATGCCAAGATTTTTAATCTGACAATTCCTGTGAATTTTTCTGGCTTAATAAAATCTGATACTGTGTTTGAAACATAATATAAGTATTGTACGTTCAAATTGTGGCACAATGAGCACCCCCCCACCCCAGTCAAGTTGGCCTTAAATGATGTTATTGGAGTTAGAAATGTCTGGAGTTTTTTTTTTACTTTTAAAAAAAAAAAAAAAAAAAACATGATATGCATTCCTCAAAGCTGTGTTCTTTTAACTATTGTAATCACTAAACTGGATTTGATTGAATTTCTAGCGTTTTCATAAAATTATTTGGGGGGGGGTAATATATAAAAAAAAAATTTCTGCCCTGACATCAATAAAAAGAAAAAAAACAATTTCAATCATTTGTGAATAATTTCTGAAAGTTTCATTAACATCCGACAATTATTTTTATTTTTGCAAGATTTTCCAAATTAATCTGTGTCATACAAAAAAGACGTGCTAAAAATTGTATATGTTATTTGACTAGTTCCTGTGATACAAAGGGAAGCAAGGTTTTTTTTGTTTTTTTTTTAATCAAAATTTAGAATGTTCTAAAAAGAAGGGGAAATTTTTAAAAAATAATTTTAAAAAACTTTGGGCTTTCCTCTTAATAATAAGATAAGCATTTAGACAATAAAATTTTGTTTTTGTCAAATTTGGCATCTTTTCCTCATGCTATGCTCTTTTTTTTTTTTCTTAGTGATCTCATGGAGGTACCTAAGTTTCATCATTTACTCTTCTACTTGCAATTTATGAATGAAATGCTTTATTTGGTTTAGTTGGCAATATTATTTTTCTGTGTATTCCCTCCATTTATTTATTTATTTATATTTTAAATTTGATCAATATCTGTTTTTCAGTAGGCTCTAAAAGTAGAGTAGCATATATCATCTGTAAATTATCAAATTCTTTTATTTTGCTACCTATTATTGGGCTTGCTATAATTTCCAAACTTCAAACTAGGGTATTAATTCATTTTTTTTATTATAGGTTTAGTTTTCATGCTCTATACCCCTTGGGTTTCAGGGCTGACACACAAAATGAATACCGATAGCTTATATGCGTGCGTGTGTGTACACACACACACACTGAAGGTTTCTCTGTCTGATCAGGAAGGGATTTGGAGTGGGGTATTTAATTATTTGTTCAGGTTTTGGGAAATGGCTTGGGTTGAAATTATTTCAGCTACTGGTGTGTGACTTTTTTTTTTTTTTTTTTTTTTTTCTCCACTATAAGTATTTGTTTGTATATCTGGAACTGAAAAAGAATTTAACAGTGTTTCATTGGCTTTAATCATTTTATTGGGGTGAAATGATTTTCAGCCCAAATTTTTATAATGTTCCTTATCCTATCATGTATATAAATATAAAAAAAATGTCAAACTAATTTAAAAATATTTTTTCCCCCTTAGTTATTGCTTTTGAATTCATTGAAGTAACTAACCAAACTTTCCTTCTCTCTCCCTAATTTATTAGTTGATGAATACTACATTTGTCAACTTTTCAGGTGACATTATTTGATTTATTTTCATCTGTTATTTTTTTTTTTTTTTTTTTTTTTTTAATTTTAATTTTAATTTTTCTAAGTGTAAAATTTGATTTCCCATGTTGGTTTAAAGTTTTGGAATATTCTCTTTTTCTCCAGGTTGTAAAAATGTTGTTGAAGTTACTTGAGGACAAGAATGGAGAAGTTCAAAATTTAGCTGTAAAATGGTACGTGCTCATCATATTCTGACATTTTCTATTAGCCTCTTTAATTACTCTACAATTAAGATAGATTTTTGTTTAATCTTTATCACACTGTGTGACTTCATTTGCTGTGCAAAAATTTTCTCCTGCCACTGAAGGTGACTCGGATCCCCGTATGTTTGGATTTCATAGATATATTGTCATATCCTGTTATGGCAACAGAAAACAACTGAATGAAATTAACAATAAAGATGCTACAAATGAGAAGCTTTGAAAAAGAATGCAGTAGAAAGGGAAGTAATATTGATAATGTAGTGTGCATTAACAAGGTTAAAATTATCTGTTCAAATAGTAATTTATCATTTGAGATCTGAATAGATTTTTTTGTCTTCTTCACCATATTTCAAGTAAAGGCTTAAATTTTTTTTATTTTTTTATTTTTTTTTTTTTATATACATTTATGCAATATAGGCACTCTCCCTATCCAATGCAATGGCAATCCAATTTTGTCTCTTTGCATATAATTTAGCTTTCTAGGACATAAATGTATTGAATTGTAAAGTTTTTTTTTTTTAAGAAATACTTAGTCCAATTTTAATAAACAATCAAGAATTCTGAAAATGAATTTTCTAAACATATTTTTCTCAAAGATTGCTTTTCAGGGTAACTTGGATTTTTAATTTTAATTTTTTGTTTAAATTAGTCACATTTTTCGTAGGCCCAATGACCTTTTCCATTCATGATTTTTTTTTTTTTTTTTTTTTTTAATGCAAATTAGAATATTAAGGGAGAGGAAGCATCTTTTTTATTTTTTTCTTGTGTAAATTTTTTTATATTTGAAAAATTTATTTTATACATTTTAAAATCTAAAAACATTATTTTCTAAATGTGTGGTTGCTTGTCCTTTTGTTCTAAAATTCTTGAATAGTTTTGTGAAATTTGAAAGAAATTTCTGTATAATTTAGCCATAGGAGTCATGTTAATCTATAAAACTATTTTGCAAAAAGGTATCACAAACTATGAATTTAAAAAAAAAATTTTCTTGAACCTCTAATTTTTTAAAAACACATCAAAATAGAATTTAAACTCAAAAATTAGGCTTGAACTTTTTTGCATATTGCTTATTTTTGTGAATTCTCTAGTCATGTTAACTTTTGAGTGTTTCAATGAGGATGTCATTTCAAATACAAGAAGTTTTCCTTAGTCTGTAAAAAAAAAAAAAAATCATTTTTGTTTAGGCAAATTGTTTTCGTTTATTGAAAACATGTATCAGGTGGGAACAAAATATGATCCAACTGCGAATTGATATCATCATAGCAAAACCCAGGATCACAGGAATATACAAAATGCTACAATCTGGTTTGCATTGCTAAACACCTGCTAGGGTAGATATGAAGCTAATTGGTAAGGAGAATATGGAGGTTGGGACGGACAGGACCTTGATGCCTAACTGCATCAGTTTTTGAGAAGTGGTCAATGAAGTACAAGGTCTGCAGCAGGATAGGCCTCTTTTTTTCTTTTTTTTTCTTTTTTTTTTCTTTTTTTTTTTACCACTACTGACTAAAATGTTTGAACCTTTTGATGTCTTTTGTTTCTAATCTTGAGATCAGGATGCTGCCATAATAAACTATGTTGCATGCATTATAACAGCAGCAAGGAGATCTCCTCCTTTTTTTTTTTTTTTTTTTTTTAGCAGGGCAGGCAAACAAATTGCAGAATATGTCAAACAGTTTCTGTTTGAATTTCTGTAATGTGGAGTTACTATTTACAATCAAACTAATAATCTCATCTTTGTTGTTAGTGTAATATTTTGACTGTTGTACAACCTTCAGGTGCTTGTCAATCTGAGTAACTTTCAGGGAATTTCAAACTGAACGCTTTATTTAATCTATGAGTGTAGATGTTCTCATTCTATTGTCCCTATCTAGAGATATCTCGTTTATTTTATTTTTTTTAGTATGGTTCAGTTATTGCTTGCTATTGTCACATGGGACAATAGTCTATCGGATTAAAGTGTTGGTTCATAAATTTGGCCACATAGTAATTATGAATTTATTCTCTGGGCTAGGTAGTACAAATGTAGACTCTGTGGAAACTGGGTGAGATGGTATATCCCTAGATGAAAAATAACAATCTACCCCCATAAATTAAAGGGTTTGGTTTGAAATTTCCTGAAGGTTACTCAGATTGACAATCACTTTAAGAAGGCCAATGGGCACAACAGTCAAACTGTTGGGATAACAACGATCAGGACAATAGTCTAAATGTAAATAGTCAGACAATATCAGCAGTTAATCCTCATTCAAATAATGTACTAGCCACTTTTGCATTTTCTCTTAATTTTGCCAATTTGTGCTTTCTCCCTGCTTTGTTTACTGTGTTTGTTTCTGAATCAGGCTCCCTTCTTCATTGTCAAGTGATGGTTTGCGATTACAGCCATTTCAGGTCACCAAAATTAATCTTTGGAGCCAGCAAATCACAGGCTGTTTTGAAGCTGACTCTTGTCCCCAAATGCTGTTTCTCTTGCTGATAGTTTTAACAATGTCATGACCAACTGTAAACTCCTTATGACACACACAATTATACTTATTCATTTTGGCTTTGATATTCTGTTAAAAAAAAGAGAAAAGTAAACAAAAAAATTCCAACCTCCCAAAAGTAACACTGAAAAGGAAAGAGTCATGCAAAAACATTTATTTTGTAACAAGCTCACATATTGTTTTACTAAGGATGCAATGGCAGGGGGATCTTATTTAAGGAATGCTGTGAGTAAAACCGGAAAAGATTGAATCCTAATATTCATTGCATAAAATTTTGAAACTTCTATGATTGCATGATACACTTATGCAAGTAATATGCTTTCGTTTTATTCTGAAAATATAGGAGCATTAAGATAATATTTTACAGCTTGTATTTCCTTGGATGTGCTCCTTTTGAGATATATATATATATATATAAGTCAAAACACACTGCCTTCTCATGTATGCTTATAGTTGGTACTATTGTGGTCACATGATCAAACTTTGAAGCTGCTCTTTGTTCCTCCTTGGTGCACACTGCTAGTGGAGAGGCCATGTTTACACTAATAGCAGCAAGAAAACTGGTTTTATTTACAAAATCAAAATGTAATAGAAAATATAAATCCTGACTAATAACTACACTGCTCCTGATGTCTATCAGTGTAACAAGTTGAACTTCTAGGCCTTTTTTTTTTTTTTTTTTTTTTTTTTTCAGCTTCAGGTGTATGGGCCAGGAGATGTGAACTGAAAAGAGAGGAGACTTCTTTTATTCAGTTCACATCTACAGGCTCATTTTAAAAATTTCTGAGGACTCATGTTGAAAATCACTGGTATAGGCTTAGATTGGGTGGAAACTGGATGAGATAAATCTGTACTAAAAAAAAAACGAGGTGAGATATCCCTGGGCATACACAATGGAATGAGAACAATCAGTTGCTGTTGATTAAACAAAGAGTTTGGTTTGAAATTCCCTGAAAGTTACACAGATTGGCACAAACTTGAAAGCTGGAGATCACAACAGCCAAACTGTTGTAATAACAACACAGATAAGGACCTTAGTCTGGGTGTAAATAATTACAATGAGATATTCCAAAAGTATTTTTATCTAATTACTTGTCCCCATGTCTAGTAATCAGTTTCTATGATAAATAGACGGAAACTTTGAAACCAAGAAATAACTGTTACTGTTTTTCATGAGACTAAATGAAACATTTGTACAATTGAATTAGAATTTTTCATTTGTGATGACTTGACTTTTTAATTGAACACTGAAGATAAATTCAATTTGCTATTTTTAGCATGGGACCTTTGGTAAACAAAGTAAAGGAGTTCCAGGTTGAAACAATAGTGGATACATTATGCAGCAACATGTTATCAGAAAAAGAACAGCTGAGAGATATATCCAGCATAGGTAAGGAACTATTATAGAAATTCTTTTGGCCTCATAACTTCATGCATCAATGGGTTATTCTAACAGTTGGCACAATTTTCTATTGACACTTCATCTTATCAGACCAATTGAATTCTGCATAAAACATTAAGTAGGTAATCCTGACTCAAAAGATTCTGTTTCTCTATCTGTAACTCACAATGACTTCTTATTAATGATAGAAAATCGTTTTTCCAATTGGCTGCCACCCAAGGCTAGAGTCCAGTCTACCATGCTATTTAACCTATAGCTGGCAGGAGAACAGATGGCTTTGTGCATTTCTTATAGTGTGAAAGTAAAGGCAACAAACTTGGCTAGAATTTGAAATTGGCCCACTGGTTCCACTTTCCAATTTTGTGTATTGCTCCTCCTAGTCTGGCTGCCACCCACGGCTAAAGCCCCATCTGACTTATTTAGCCAGCAGCTGGTTGGAAGAAGTACCTTCAAACCTTTCCTGTGGACATTGGTGCGAAAGTTAATGCAGCAGACTATGCCAGGATTTGAACTCTGCTCATTGATTCCCTTTTAGGCACTAATAACCATTACGCTACCCACACCTTGCATATAAACCACTTTTATATGATTTTGGTAACTGTATAAAAATATTTAAATTTTAAACTGCATTCTTTCCACAGGTTTAAAAATAGTAATTAGTGAATTGCCACCTTCGTCCACTTCACTTGCCGGTAGTATCTGTAAAAAGATAACAGGACGACTAACTAGTGCTATTTCAAAAGTAAGTTATTCTTTTTTTCTTCCCCCCCCACTCTCCATTTATGTCTGTGTTAGCCAAACTGTTTTTTATATTTAACATAATTGGTGTTTATGAATTAGTTATATTTTTGTTTGTATATTTGGCTATCCAGCTATAATTCGAATTAATGGATGTTTGAAATGGCACACATGCACTCATGTATAAAGGAAAAGGAAAAATCTTTAACAAAAAAATAAAAAGCCTGAAATGTAAACAATAAGTTTCTTCCCTCCATGCCAAAGTCACTCCCTTATAGATTTATGTTTTGGAGATCTATATGAGTAAAGTTGGATGAGAATCCAATGGAATGTTAAATATATGAGACAATTTTACAAATCTTTTGTCTTTCAAATTTACCTTGGCTAGGTCATTTTTAGATTGGATTAAAAATGCTACTGATAAATTTACTTACTGTTTCACATATATTAGTAAACTTTAGAATAAGAATGCCAATATGCAGCATAAAAATGTTTCCAAATATTTTGTAATGCGCTTTTGAATTGACAAGGATTCTTTCCTCCACTTCCAGTTTGTGAATCATAAATTTTGTTTCCTTAGATTTCTTAAAATGTTAGTAGTTGAAAGTACATTTTCTGTATCAAATTCTCTTGGAAATTAGCCATTTTGCACCTTTCTATTTATTTATTTTATTAACTATTACAGGAAGATGTCTCTGTTCAATTAGAAGCCTTGGATATTCTTGGTGATCTACTCAGTAGATTTGGAGGTAGTGTTAAAATTTCTATTTAACATTGTCATCAGCTGATTTTTCAAACTAAGAAAATGAGTCTTAGATGTAACAAACTTTTTTTAATAAATTAATGCACATTGATGACTTTTTTCCCTTGTCAAGTTATTTTAATTTCATGTTATATGTTCAGATAGATTTAGATTCACTTGACTACAGCTTTATTCCAGTTATGCACTACTGTTTTTGAACTATTATACTTAGCTTTAAACTAACTTGCCCACTAAGCGTCTCGGCCATCGAACAAAGCTGAATATTATAGGTACTGTTCGGCTTTGGTCACTGGGTGAGGCCCTTCTTGGCCAAGTTGGTGTAAAGCATCTAACAGTGTTTTCTCTTGCTAAGTGGGGACACAGGTTTGAATCCTGTCAGAGGGTGCAAATTTTCTTTAATAGAATTTCTCTAATATTCAGGCCGGTAGATGAAATTAAATATAGTGTTGAATAAATAAATGGAACATCTACTCTAATATGGGTATCCATTAGAAATAACATTTAAGAGAAAAACTATTATAGTTTAAATGAAAATATATAACACATTATTTGTCAATTTAGCAGGTTTTTGAAATTGATTTTGTTTCTTCTTAGGTTTACTTATTAATTTTCATTCCACCATCCTTCAATCTCTACTCCCACAATTGTCCAGTCCTCGTTTGGCTGTCAGGAAAAGAGCCATTGTTGCTATTGGTAAGCATCTCTTCCTTTTTTTTTTCTCACTTGCTCTCCCTTTTGCCAGCCTTTTTTTTTCTTTTTTTTTTTTTTTTTTTCTTTCACCCTGCACATTATATTGTATAATTTATCTATTTTATTTTTTTCATATGATTTTGTTTTTCTAGGCTACCTTGTAATGAGTTGTAACAATGAGTTGTACCAAGAATTAATTAACTTCCTTTTGGCGGAATTGGAGAGAAATGTCTCCACATCTACAACTCGTACTTATATTCAGGCTGTCGGTGCTATCAGGTAACAAATGTTCTCAATTTGTATTCTGGGAAAATATTATAATCAAAGCTTGTGTGTTTTATTTTATTTTTCCTCTGTTTATTCAGTAAGGCATCTAAACAGTATAGTTATTCTAAATAGTTATTTTTATGATAATTAAAACTAATTAAGTTCTGTAGGAACATTGCATTAAATGTTTTACTGCTTAAAAAAATCTTATTTTCGGTGTCAAATATAAAAATTATTCATTGGCTCCAATTTACCAAAAAAAGTAAAATTATAAATAAATATAGAAAAAATGGAAACGGTGAATTTTGTCTCTTCATGCTGTATGTAAAAAGCCAAATTAATAACCTGAGTATGGCTAGATAATTCAGATTTTGCACTTTTTTTTTTTTTTTTTTTTTTTTTTTTTTAAATGTAAATATTTTGTGGCATGAATTTCATTCTCTGTTGATATTTGTAATGCCTATAATTAAAGTTTTACAGATGTTTTTTTAGGATCTTAGTAGCAACAGCAGTTCTGAATTCAGTTTTTCTCTGATCTTTTGTATATTGCATATTTTTTATCCTAGCCGTCAGTCTGGTCACCGATTTGGTGAATACCTTGACAAAATGGTTCCTCTTGTAGTTGGTTTTTGCAATGAAGAAGATGACGAATTACGGGAATATTGTCTGCAAGGTTTTGAGTCTTTTGTTCGTCGTTGTCCTAAAGAAATAACTCCATTTGTGGAACAGGTAAATCATTTCACTACTTTTGATCACATCTTGACTCTAAAAATCGTTATTTTAATTACTCACTATATGTTTTATTACTTAACTATCCTTTAAATTGGAAAGTAAATGGTGTGTTTATTTTCTGATGGAATGAAAAGATAACTGCTTATTTGTTTTGATTATATAAAGTCTGATTAAGTTTCACATTGTCGTCTGTAAAAATATGTAAATGATTTTGTATATAAAGCTTTTTATTAGCTAAAATTTATAATTTTCTCTTATTGGCTTGTTTTTAGATAACTCCTATCTGTCTGAACTACATCTGTTATGATCCTAATTACAACTATGATGATGACGATGAAGAATCCATGGACACAGGACTTGAAGAGGACGAGGATGAGTAAGTTGGTGTGCTTTTAATCGCTACTTAACACATTTTAAAAAAAAAAAAAAAAAAAATGGAAAATTTCAATTTGCATGTTGGTGGGAATATTGCTTAGTAGATAATTTAATATTTTTGAATAAGGAAGTTTGTATCATGTTTTCAAGCAAATTTTTATCTGATATTAATTGCCAACTTCTATATTTAATAAATTAGGGAAAGAAACTTAATCTGGCAATAGAACTGATCATCCTTCTCAAAATAGCTCCAAATTATAAACAAATGAGCATCTCAATTTGAGATTATCGGATCGAGGTGTATTTCCTGTTACTAGCAATAACCATCTGTGATCATGAAAGAGAGAAACTACTCTTGAGCAAAATAATTCACTTAGATCTGAGATTATTAAATGAATGTACAAAATGTCTTGCTAAATAGAAATACTTTGGTTACAATGTCACAAGGATGATGATATGTGATGTTAAATCCCCAATGGAGATTGATGAAAAGGATTAACTATGCCAATTGTACTATGGGAGATGAATTAGTCTAAATTATGGATATGATAAAGGATAAGGTATTTAAAATTGTAGAAAGTGGTTTAATTAAAATTAATTAGTACCTAGAATTGTCTGGTTTTGAACTAACTTTCCAAAAAACACAAACACTTCATTCACAACTGGAAAAATGACAATTGAGATAAACCCTTATGTTAGATCAGATCTTGGTCATAATTCACTAAGAGCATTTATTTTTTAAGGCTATCCTCCTTTTCTGTCTGATGGGGTTAAGAATTTCACAGGCACCACCAATGAAAGACAGAAAGATTTCATCAAAATCCTTTCTCTGACTGTTACTAAGCCAATATGCAAATCAACTTGTAAGCTGGCACGTAGGAGAAATCTGCTCCCTGTAAAGAGTTGAAGTGTCAATTTCTCTCAGCCTTTCACATCTAAAGCAGAGAGAGAAACTCCATCTGACTAGCCAGTCATTCGGTCGGCTAGACTGTTTTACTCTAGGAAGAACTCAAATGTTATCTCTGGTTCATTTTTATTTGACAATGTTGTAATAACAGTTGGATGATAATGAACACACTTTATAATAGTAAAGTACTTGTGTTGGAAACAGCTGAGTCAAGTGGCAAGACCAAGATGTTAAGACCTCATTATTGAAGACTTTCATCAGTTGGGAATGGAAAAAGGGAAAGGAAACAAAGTTCAAGAATAAAAGTAGGTACATTATCTTGTGTATGTTGGTTATTTAAAAAATAGACTGCTCAATATTTGGCTTTGACTTGACTTCAGCTGAACCCAGCAAAGTAGTAGAAGAGAAATTACTGGGAATTTTACCTAGTAATGTATATGGGTGATTTGATAAGGATTGGTCTGCTTAGATCAATAATCACAAATAGGACCTCCTCTCTCAAGTCAAATCCAACACTCACCTCTAAGCACTTCCCCACTAACAAGGATCACAAATAGGACCCCTCCTCTCTCAGTTAAATCCCTTACACACCTCTAAGCACCTCACCAGGAAGTGTAATCTTTAGTCATAATGTTCAAATTCTCTAATGATTCACTCTTTTTCATTTTCTGGTTATTTGCATCATTAGAAAAATATAATCTATGTAAAGGCAAAAAATTTTCATTCAAAAGTTTTTTCTTACATCTTTCCTTTTTGATATTTTTGTCTTTTGATTTTATTTCTGAATTCTTCTAACAATAAAACTTGTTTATATTGAGAACTAAATTAGTCTTGTGACTTTATTTTAGAGACTCAGAAGAAGAATACAGTGATGATGACGACATGAGTTGGAAAGTGCGCCGTGCTGCAGCCAAGTGCCTCGATGCTATTATTGGAAGCTGGCATGAGATGCTGCCAGATTTCTACAAAAATATTTCATCTGCTTTAATTGCAAGATTTAAAGGTATTTTTTTTAAATTCCCATTTCTCATTATCCTTGTAATCAGATTTGTGACATTTTATAAAAATCTCCTTCTTGGCCCAAATATTAATTCTGGAAGAATTTCTTAAATCCTTTGTTTTTGTGAATTTTTATAGAGTTGATATATTTAATAATTAAGTAAGCATTGTACATTCTGAAGAAATTTACTTTTATCCATCATTCTATCCAAAAGTGAATTTAATTTTAAATTGCATTAAAAGATTTTGCTTTTTAAAGACAACTCATTATCAATCTGACAAGTTCTTCCAATTTACAAAAACTAGAAAGAAAATAGGAAGAAATTTCGTAACTTTTTTTTTTTTTTGTTTTTTGAATTGATTTTAATTTTGATTTTTATTTCCCAATCTACCAGAGAGAGAAGAAAATGTGAAGGCTGATATCTTCCATGCTTATATTACTTTGCTTCGTCAGACTAAACCAGCCGTCTCGTCTGGACCTGATTCTATGGATCATGAAGAAGGGTAAGCCAAATCTAGGTTTGTGGTTGCTTAGACCTTGTTATTAATGATTTTATTTTAATTACCCTTTTTTTTTTTTTCTTTTCTTTTTTTATATGTAAAATTATTTTGTCAGATTTTAACACTTGTCCATATCTCAAATTTTGAATAATTCTGTGTAAATATTATTGGGGCCTATGGCCATATCATGTTTAAACACCGATTACCATAGGATCACCACAGTTAAGCCATGTTGACCCTGGTCCATACCTAGATGGGTGACTGCTTGAGTATAACTAGTGTTATGGATAATGACTCCGAGCTGTTAATCAGAGAGCAGAGTACAGATTACCAATTCTAGTTGGGCTTGTTATATTCACTTATGCACAAATACTCTTGGGAAAGGTATGAATCCACCTCTTCTCCCTCCAGCTATGCGTTAATGAGTAAAACTTGTATCATAAAATCCTTATATCCCTTTCCCCCACCAAATTCTTCCAATCTAAAAAAAATATTTTCTGGTTTTAAATAGCCTGCAAAAAATTGATAAGCCATAGAAAATGAATCCATCAAAATATTATTGGGTTACTAGTCATTACATGATGAATTAGATGTCCATCATTACTAAATCTGCATACTATTAACTGAACTAAATTATTTTTAATTTTTTCTTCTCCATGTTGCTTAAGAGGTCTTTAAATTAATTTCACTTAACATTTAACCAAAATTTCATTATTTCATGTTCAAATCAATGTGTGTATTATTTATTTGTAGACCTGTAGCAATGCTTCAAGCTCAAGTTCCTAGTATAGTGAAAGCTATCCACAAACAAATGAAGGAGAAAAGCGTGAAAACTCGTCAAGGATGTATTGGCTTGTTGATGGAATTGGTTCAAGTGCTACCTGGGGCTCTAACCAACCATATGCCGGCTCTTATTCCTGGCATATTATATTCTTTTAGGTAGGGTGTGTTTTTTTTTTTTTTTTTTTTTTTTTTTTGACATCTCATTATGATAATTGATTTTCTCAGTTCCTATGTTGTTTGCTTCATTTTTTTCCTTAATGAGAGGAAAGAATTTGGTTCACTTAAAACTGGGAAAGTAAGTTATACAAGAAACTTGAGAACAAAAATTAACTGAGATTATTAAATATTCTTGGATGGCATATTTAAGCATTTCATAATTGTAGTTGGATATTTGAAGCAAGAAAAGAAAAGTTCAGCTGAAGAATTAAATTTTTTTGAAATATTTTTGCATTTTTCTGACAGCTTAAATTGTTTCTTTCTATTTACATTTTTATTCTTTTTAAAATGTCTTTTAGTGACAGAAGTTTCAGCTCCAATATGAAAATAGATACATTAGCATTCCTAAACTGTTTGATGGTGAACCACAGCCCAGTCGTGTTTCATACTCATATCGAGGTTCTTGTACCTGTAAGTACTTGTTCTGTTGATTGAAAATATTAAGTGTAATTTATGTCCATCATTAAAACTTTTAGTTTTCAAAGGTTTAAATAAATTCTTTTGAATAAGGCTTTAATATTGCTATTTTATACTTGCAATGGCAAAATTGAATGTCAGTATAATTTTTAAAACTAGATTCCTTTTTCTTATTTTTTTTTTCTTTTTTTATCACTAAATTTACTCTGATTTGTATAAAAATGAATTTGTTTATTTTTCAGCCAATCATTTCTGCTGTGAATGATCCCTTCTATAAAATTACATCTGAAGCCTTGTTGGTTATGCAGCAGCTTGTTAAGGTTATACGACCTTTAGGTCAGTATTTTTGTCTTTGTAAACTATTATTCATACTTATGTAATCTATTATAAAATGTTGTAAATTTGTCGATTACAATTAGAAGTAAGTTTATGTAAAGCTATTCTAGCACTTTCAAAATCTTTAGCAAATGTTACAGTTGAAATTATAACAATCTAGTGATGAGAATTTAATATGTGCTTAATTTCTAAAAATAACTGCATTTATTTACATTAAATTATTTAAATTGATTTCAAGATATGTTTAATCTTTATAAATATTAAATAATTTTTTTTTCACTTCAGATTTCATGAACAGAAATGTTTTTTTTATATTTACATTTGGAGTGACTTTAAAAAAAAATTAAGCTTTGATTTAGAAAATTCAGTCTAGTTTTAGAGCATAAAATGTATCAAGAAATATTTGTTAAAAATAGAACTAAATTTGATGTAATGACATTTAAAAAAAAAAAAAAGAAGCCCAATGAATATTTAGAATGAATACAATAGAGGAAAGTTCATCAAAAAAATTACCATCAAAATATTTATAGAAACGGTAGAGGGAAGCTACATTACAGTGGTGGGAAGGTGACTGGAGCTGATGTGCCAGGTCAGGGCTAATAACATTGCAGATTCTTTGGATTTTATAAAGAATCTCTAAATATATAACAGGAACAGAAGACCAGATGTGGTAGCCATATTCAAAGCAAGGACATATGGTGGACTTATAAAAATATGTAATATACTAGCGAGAAACGTTGTCTAACATGATACAGACCCAACTTTCTTAGCACCAGACCTAGCGATTTATTCAGTGTGTGTGTATTGATATAATAGGAAAGAACTGTTAGATTGACGATCCAAAGTTCTTTAGTATTTTTTTTTTATTTTTTAAAAAAACTGTGCTTGATACACAAGTAGATTAAGTTTCTAAAAAAAAAAAATTTATTAAATCAAAGAAATGAGAACATTTTTTAACGACACCACCAAATATTTGCTTTAAATAATTAGCATTTTATAAAAAAAAAAAAAAAATTTTCGAAATCTATGAACAAGTCCAATTAAAGCAATAGGTTTAAAAACACAACCCAATCATAACCTTAAATCCCTTTTTCAGCAATCAACAAAAAACAAACACCAAAAACTACTGGAGCTACAACATCAATCAGTTAAATTTTAGTATACAGTAATAAAAAAACAAAAAAAAAAAAACAGAACTACTACATCAATCAGTTAGTTTTAGCAGGGAGTCTGATAATATTAGCCATTGTAGCCAGACAAAAAAAAAACAACCCCACCTTTCACGACTCCAAACACTTGGCATATCACAAACACCCATCAAAGCAGTGACCTCTTGATAAAAAAAATTTAACACTAGACCACACCTCCATTTCAAAACTATATATGAGTAAAGTAAAACATTCCGTACTATAGTTGTTCCAAAACAATGCTTGAGGATGAAACTGCCACCCAGTGGTTAGGGTTTAATATTGGAATTAAACTTAAATACTGCTGACCCGTTTCAAAACAGTAATTTCTGTGTTGCAATGGAATCATTTTTTTTTTTTTTTTTTTCTTTTGGTTTATGCTGCTTAACAAAATTGTTTTCTATTTCCAGATGCTCCATATAATTTTAATTTTGAGCCTTTTGTAAAGGACTTATACAGCTGTGTGTTGTGTCGGTTGAAAGCTGCAGATATTGATCAGGAAGTGAAAGAAAGAGCAATCACCTGCATGTGAGTAACATTTTTTTTTTTTTTGTTGTTGTTACTGAGATTTACATTAATTGCCGCATTCTACTAAAAATCAGTTTCATATCATTCCTATTCATATTTCCTTCCTTTTGTACAGTTTTGTTTTTCTAAGGAACTTTGTAAATTGGTCATTTATCTCTCTTCATGTTGATGGAAAAATTTTATTTTTTTTTTTTTCTTAACATGAAAAACAATTACATTTTCTTTTTATAGGGGACAAATTATTAGAAACCTTGGTGATAGCTTGAATGAAGAATTAAAAGTCTGTTTGCCTATACTTTTGGAACGTTTGAAAAATGAAATCACTCGTTTAACTGCTGTTAATGCCTTCAGCATGATTGCCGGGTAAGTCTTTCTTATAGCTACTGAAAATATTTCCCTTGTGTTGTCTATAGGTGAAATCCTCAAATATTCTAGATCACTACTTCTCAAACTATGATATGGTGGACTGGTTTTTTTGGGTTTTTTTTTTTCTTCTTTCAATGTGTTATGTACATGTAATATTTCATGGTAATACTGGTAAAGATATATATAATGAATATTATAAAAGTTGACTATTTTTTGTCTTCCATTTATTTTGCAAAAAATAATTCAAAACATGAGTAATAAAAAAAAAAATAAAGCTTTAAATAATTCTTTAGCATGACATGGACACTGGCTGTGTACTGACACTTTGAGTAGCACTGTTCTAGATGCATTAAACTTGAATAATCTTAGGATTAGTTAAAATCAATTCTGAAATGAAAATAATTATAAAGTAAATAATAATATTTACTTTGTAAAGGGACCAATTTCTGTTTGTTAGATCTTGTCATTCACTTAAAAATATAAATATTATTGAAGTACACTTAAATTAATGTTTTATAATAGAAAAAGACTTATGAAATAAAATTTGAAACCCTTGAGATACATAAAAAAACAAAAATACCTTTATAATGCTGAAACTATTTCTATGCCATATATTTGAATAAAATTTAATTTCTTCTATAATTTAAAAATATATAATTCTATTAAATATGTCATCTCTATCATGTGGGAGGAGGGGAACTAACTTTCCACAAGGCTTTTGAAAAACTTCATCTTTTTTGCGAATTTTCAAGATTTTGACAGGAATTGGACACTTTAACTTCTAATTGGCAGATTTACAGATCGTCTTTGCATATTTTCTCACTTTTTGTTGCATTTTTCATTTTTTTTTCAAAAGATGCACGAAATAAACACATTAGAAAATTATCCTCTGGTCTTAAGCAAAGCGAATGAAATGTTAAATGGAATGTAGAAATAACTTTATTATTATTATAAAGACTATTTGTTAATGGCATTAAAATATTCATTGCTAGACAATCTTAAGATTCTGATTTTTAAAATTATCTCCTCCTTTTGTTCTGCACATTGCTATGACTAATAATGTGCATGACAGTGAAGCTATTTAGTCTAAGAATATCCATCCTCTCCACAATAGGAAAAACAAAATGTTGACTGTAAAGGTATAAATGGCATTCAGCTGTTAGGAAGAGAAAAAAAATACTTTTTGCATGTTTCCTCTTCAAAAGATTATAAATGTATTTTTCCCATTTTAATGTCATGCATACTGTTTTAGAATTAATCTGAGATCCCCACAGTTAAAAAGGATAATTACTGAATTGTGACTGCATTCACTTGTTTATTCTCTTTATTAAAGATATATATATATATATATATATATATATATATATATTTTTTTTTTTTTTTTTTTTTTTAATCATATCTGCTATTTTGAGGAACAGTTTTCATTGATACATTAACCTTTTTTTCATTATAGTTTGTTTATGGAATTATATTGTAAACTATTTCTTTGATTTTTCAGTTCACCATTAAAAATTGATTTGAGGCCAGTTTTGGTAAGTTTTTACACAAGGCATGATATCTTCACTAATTAACATATTAGATAAATCTATCACACAAGGATTTTTTTATAAGTCTACCATTTGTTCTTGCTCTGAATATTGCTGCTACATCTGGTCTGGTGCTCCTGCTATATATTTAGAGATAAAATCCAAAGAAGAATCTGCAATGTTTTTGGTTGTGACCTGGCATCTCTGCTTCAGTCACTTTCCCACGTCTGTAATGTCACTTTCCTGTGCCTTTTCTATAAATAATTTTATGGTAATTGTTCTGATGAATTTTCTGCTATGGCACCTAGACTTTACCTAGTACTAAATTAGTGATTGAAACCATAAATTCTATGCTAATAGTTTCTTCTCTCTCACTTTTTGTTTGTGCAACTCTTAAAGCTTCTTGCTTTTCAGTCAACTTTGATCTTCAAAAATTTAAATGCAATATCAGTTGTTATCTTCTGTCTTAATTCCTGTTCTTTTATTGTTCTCTCTCCATAGTAGTGTTTTTTGTTTTTTCATATTTTGTAACATTCAGTAACACCCACTTGTGTCTTAATGGCTTTATTGCCTTGCTTGTGATGAAATTAAAAACAAAAATTGCTTACAAACAAAAAACAAAAAAAAAAAAGAAACACCATTATACTGAAATGATTTCTACACCATATTTTTTCAATAGAATTAAATAAAATTTAAACTCTTCCACAATTTAAAAACTATGAAATGGGTCATTTTTGTTTTGAAATTTTAAGCAAATATTCTTTTGCTAACTTTCTTGTTTTTATAATATATCTCAATTTTTCTGACACGATCAGTTATTTAATCATGAGACTTAATTATGCAAAATAGAATGAAATTTCATCTGCAAGAAAAATCCATTATTTTTTCCATTGACTATTATGTTAATGATGTTCTGAATTATTTTGCTAATCTGTGTTGTTTTTATTCCCCACTGCCATCACCATTGTTCTTAGATGTTGCTCATTTTACACACTTTAGATTTTCTACATTTGCAGGATGAAGCCATTCCTATCCTTTCTACTTTCCTCCGAAAAAATCATCGGGCTTTGAAGTTGAAAACTTTGGCTTGTCTGGATGTTCTTGTAAAGAATTATGGTAAGACTTTTTGGTAGAAGAAATGCTTTGCTTTAAATTTTTTTTTTTTTAAATCTTTGTAAAATTTTTGGAAAACACTGCTAGGTTTCATATTTGAAGAATATTTCCATCCTTAGAAATTAATCTGATGATTATCAAGTCTCCAATTATAATTACTAATCATTCAATAGAATGTCTTTGTTTCAGCCACTTTTGTAATGATTACTTCCTATTATGCTGTCTTTCTTTTTCTTTTTAGGTACAGCTCTTACTCCTGAAATGATTGGCAACATGATGGAAGAAATGCCACCACTGATTAATGAAAATGATCTTCATGTATCTCAGGTAAGAGAATCAAAACTAATCTTTTTCTTTTAATGTTATTACAGCAGAGATAAACTGATTTAGAAATAAATGTCCAGACTTTTAAATTGCATACTACAGTTCAGTACATTTTTTTTTCTCTTCTTTCCTCTAAAATTTGATAATAATAAAAATTGTATCAGGTTTGGGAATAAGTCTCCTAATGGTACATAATAATTTCTAAAGAAGTAATGGATTATTTTATTTATTAATCCAACAGATTTTTATCACTTTAAACATTATTTTTAGTGGTTACCCATATGAGTAGACACTGTTTATTTTAAACTGTATATTTTTGTCTACCAACCTGAATATTCAAGAAATCTTATTAAAGAAAAATATGTACCCTCTGGCAGGATTCAGACCCACGTCCCCCTTTGCAGAAGAACCCATTGTTATATCTGAAAGGCTTTCAACCAACTTGGCCACAAAGGCTGCCACCAATCAAGCAAGATTGAAATCATGCTAGAGGATGACTATCTTTCTTTATTAAGATTTCTTGAATATTTAAACCGGTAGACAAAAACAAAATATTGTTTCAAATACTTGGAGCGTCTACTCAAACATGAGTATCCACTAAAAATAATCTTTAAAATGATAAAAAAATATATAAAATCATAACTTTTAATATATAATCATTTTTACATGGAAAATTTTGTCCCAAACAAAAAATTTAAAAATTTTTTAAGTTTGGCTGTATTGGGTCTAGTGAATTTAATCTCATCAAAATATAGATTTAATTTACAACTCACTAAAAAAATGAAAATCATTATAAACCTTTATAATCTATCTATGCTGATTTTTCATGACTTAAAAAAAAATGCATTTCAGCTCACTCTCAACCTGCTCACGTCCATCTCCCACATACACCCCGCTTCTATGACAAATATCCAGCAGGAAATGCTGCCACAGATTTTGCTGTTAGTGCAATCTCCCTTGTTGCAAGGTGGTGCACTTGATTCCATCCTAGAATTTTTCAAGGCACTTGTTAATGCTGATTTGTCCAAACTAAGTTCAAGAGACCTTCTTCAGGTATGTTTTTTTTTTTTGTTTTGTTTTTTTGTTTTTTTTATTTGCCTGTTAAAGTTGTACAACAATAACAGCAAAGATTTAATGCATTTCTTATCTATTTGTTTTAGTTCCCTTGTGTAAAGAATATAATTTGGGTGAAATGTTTTTGCAATCAATCTTTTTTAAAAGCATAAGGAGTAAGGAGCTTTATCAATGATATCATTGTCTTTTAGAATCAAAGGAACCCACAAAATTAGAAGTACACAAAATAAAAATTTATTGTAAAGCAGTAACTTACTGTTAATGGCAGATTAAAAATGTACAATTAATGAAATTCAAGGTGCTTTTCTTTATTGCTTGATCAAAATAAATTCATGATAGAATAAAAACTTTGATTAGATTTTAGTCTAAATTTTTTTTTTTTTTTTTTCTTTGAAACAAAAATGTGAATTTATTGAAAATATATGCCAATTAGTCTCTGCTTAAAATGAACCTACTAAAGATTTGACATGAAGAGTCATCTTTTTAATTACTAAAAATTAAAGGGGTCCCACTTTCTGTAGATTTTTTTCAAGTTGAAATGTTTAAAATCTCAATTTTCCTTATACTATTAATTTCATATTTCAGATGCTCATTACACCTGTATATAACCCTCCAATAATACAGCCCAGTAATGCCGTCTTGGCTGTACATAAACAAGTTAGTTTCTTTTTCTTTTTTTTTTAACAAATACCAATTTGCATTTTGGCTATTGTTTGTATTTAAATGCAATCCATTCATATTTAGCACAATCTCACCTATAGTGTGTGTGTTGACATTTGTCAGACCATTGTTTTCTATGCATGACAAATTGTGCTTAATTTGGATTTCTGTGTTGTATAGGATTCATCTTTGTTTCCCTCACTGAAGAGCCAAGTTCAAATTCCAGTCATATTCATCACATTTTACTTACCTTTCCAAAGGGTATTTGTGCATATGAATTTCTCTTCACTCCAGCTAAGGGTTAAATAGTAGGACTTGTAGCTGGAAAAATCATTGTTCTCAACAAACTGTTAATTCAATATTCTCTTTTAAAATTCTTATGATCCAAAATATATTTTGGCTTTAAATAACCCACTAAGGATTGATAAATTGTTTATCTGTTTTCCTCACAAACCATGCAATTTATATTTTAGGTATAGTCTTCATATATGATTTTTATATACAAAATGTCTTGAATCAACATTTTTAAAAAATGTCTGCATATTTATTGAATAACCTTTGCCACCAATTTTTTTTGTGTGTGTGGTTTGTTCAATATAGTGGTTTCATTTTGCAACTGCTATCTTCTATGTGTTGTGCCCCTTCAGAACGTGGGTAATAATGGCTCTCCACAACTTTGTATTCCTTGCAGCTATTAGTAACATGTTTTTTTATTATTTTTCCTACTCCCCTTTTAGCTATTCATTCACATAAGCTCTTCAGGTAGATATCCTGCTGCTTTTTATTATCAGTATGTCCTGTTAGTGTTAAATTTTCCAAGCCCTCTTTCCTTCAGCTGCCTCTTTCTGATTCTAAGTGTCCTTAAAATATTTTTTGTCTTGCCTCACTAATTCTATTTAAATGTCTTGACATTTCCTTAATTCATTTGTTGATCAGTAGTTTTTCTTTTAGCCATATTAACTTTGTTGATGACTAGAACTATTTCTTATTTATTTCAGGCTTTTCACTCAATTGCTAAATGTGTAGCTGCAATAATTGGTCAAACAGAAGCTCCCAAAGTAATTAACCAATTTGTTACTGATATTAGGGTAAGTAGGCAACGTTTTTAGCTAGTATTAATGTCCACACCTTAAAATCTACTATTACTTGTAATCCTTTAATGCCCACTGTACCAAAAATGGATTAAGGCGCAAAAGCAGATTTAAGATATAGCTTAGATTCATGACAAATAAAACAACACCCCGAAGGGCAGTGACCATTTTTGACACAGGGTGCAGTATGTGGGTTGCTAGTGATAAGATATTCTGATATATTTTCTAAGTCTTCAGCCATTTTGTGATCTAACTTCATACACTGTCCTTTCTCTAAGCTTTAGACAGTGACCCATATTAAAATCAATTTTAGTGTGGTGAAAGGAAGTGTCATGCCATGGAAACTCGCAGGTGTTTGTTTCAATAGAAACATTTGATGGGGGGGTCATATTGTGGTCTTTGTGAGGCTGGCAGGTTATTTCAGAGAATTGCTCAAGTGTGTCATTTGACACAGTAATACCTCAGTGTTGGTGCTAGTGATCGAATGAACATTCCTATACCTGTAAACCAAGTTCCCAGTGGCTACATAGTACATGTTCACCAAAATTGATAAGTTGTATGGATAACAATGGTAGACTGCAACATTCGCAGCACAAATCAGAGCTGATGTGATTCTGGGACAATCATCATAGATTGTTGGAAATTGTTTACTTGCAAGGTTTATGAACATGGATGCCTCCTGCCAGACTTCCACTTATCATGTATATTTCCAACGATGTTGCAAGAAGGTCACTGACATATCAAATGAGACTGCATTATGTTAAGTGATGGAAAGCAGGTTCTGCCTTCATACAAGTGATTCAGTGTGGGGTGCATAGACCTTGGGAGCAATATCATCTTCCACAGTGTATCTATCCACAACACATCCTAGCCCAACACCCGTCAACATATTCATGAGTGACATAAAGTAAAAAAAGAAAAAAAAAATTGATTTTCTTTGGTGTTTTTTAAGAGGGATTGTTGAACAGCACCATATATGCATCCTGAGCATTGTTTCCCTGCAGCCTGTTCTACTGCTATTCCTTCAAGTAAAAGGTGGTATTTTATTCAAGCAGTATAACACCTGCCCACATGATTCCCATACTATTCACCATGCTCTGTAAGATTTTCAACAACTTCTTTGGCCAACACAATTACCAAACCCCTTCCCTCTTTAAACCTATACGAGACATGAAAGGACGACACCTGACTTGTTCAGATAGTTCACATACAATTCTTAGTGTATTGTATCAGCAAATGAAAGTGGTATGGAATAATGCGTTTGTTCCAAGATAGTAATTGCTACCTTGTGTGCGTACATTCCTGTGTTAATGTTCAAGGAGGATTTACAGTATATCTCAGCCGTATTTTGGAACTTGTACACTGGGATCTTTTTCAGTAATCCGCCTATATTATCTGTCTGCTGAATCTTAAATAAATTGAAATACATATTTAAGGTGTTGCAATTTTATTTTCCATCAGTGTAGTATAAAAATTTGAATATTTATACAAAGTGTTATACTTTTTATGTTATGCACCATTTTATAGCAAATGACTTTTTCTTGGTTTCAAATGATGATGCCCATGCCACAACTGTAGAAAATTTTTCAATTTATATTTCCCATTTTTGTAAGCTTATATTTCTTCAAATTCTTGTCATTTCTGGAAAACCAAGAAAAAAATTTTTTTTTTTTTTTTTTTTTTTTTTTTTTAAGCAAAAATATTGTTCTAAAGATAAAACCAATGTCAGGCTCAGAAATCACCTTCATTTTCGTTTATTCTTTTTTGTGTGTCTTCTTAAATGCCAAGAAGAATCACTAAGCATGCTTGCTGATTTCATTTGAGAATGTGATAATAAATTTTAAAAAATCAATTTTTGTGACTCTATCCTCCTCCTCCCCCTCCCTGCATTATGGAACATAGTTCCTTCACTCAACCTTAAAATGCCTTTGGATTTATTTTTCAGCATACTAAATCTTCAGATTCAGTAAAACTATTCTCATTGTTAGCTTTGGGTGAAATAGGCAGGCAGATGTAAGTATTGAGTTGATTTTTTATTCTCTCTTTCTCTGTTTACAATTTACAAAAGGACTTTAAAATTTGAATTTTATACAAGCTGAATGTTTCTGATGGTTAAAATATGAATTTTACTTATAAACTTATCTTCAACATTATTTAGATATGATTTTCGGTAAGGCATTTTTCATTTACATTATAAAACCTCAGATTTTTGTTAATGTTACTGAATCCAGTTATTTTAAAATATGCTTTTGTTTTTAAAGAAAATTTTTTTTCAATTTTATAACATTAAACTTAAGATTTGATATAGCATGAACCCACTTTTACCAAAATTAATTTTAAGAAGTCCAGGTTTGGTATTCAAGCATCAACATTGTGTGTGAATATGGAGGTGGAAGGTTTTTTTTTTTTTTTTTTTTTTTTATATAAAAATAAAAAAAAAGACTTGATTGTAAATTCCTTTAGAATAAAGTGGGTAACATATTAGCTAAAGTATATTACTAAACATGCTATCTAAAGTTTTAAGTTGGATCTGTCAACTTCAAGAATGTTGAAATAATGAATTGATTTTTCTGTTTTTATTTTAGGGATCTCAGTGGCTATGGAAAAATTGAAAATGTGATATTAGAATCATTTTCATCTCAGAATGAAGAAATTAAGGCAGCAGCATCTTATGCTTTAGGTGAGCAGATATTCTTAGAATTTTTTTTTTTTGCTTAGCTTAATAAGTTAAAAGAATTAATTGCTCTCACCCTTTGTTATCGCGTATTGACTGTTCTCTGATGATCCGGGTAACCTTCGGAATTTCAAACTGAACATTTATTCTATCGGTAGATTGTTCTTATTCCTCTATCCATATCTAAGGAAGTTTTGTTCTTGTTTAATACTACTTTGTTATTGTTTGCTCCATTTCCACTGAGTAAGTCTGTACTGCTTGGCCCAGGAATTGAACTCCCAATTACTGTCACCAAATTCATGATTATCTACTAGGCTAAAGCTAAAATTTGGATCTTTAAATGTAAAGTTTTTATTATATTCATTTGTCCAAATGTGAATAATGGGAATCCCAGATATTCAGGCAGAAAGTAAAAAGGAATTTTCTATTCTGATATTTAATAACTTGAAGTGACTACAACAACATGATGACTGTAGGATAGCATATTTTTAGTTTTTATTACTTTGAAATCCAAAACTCTTCCAGTAAAACAAACTAACAAGAGCTGTCCCTTCATTTTCCTTTTAAGTGGCTTTCAATTAAATTTATTTTACTTGCCTAAGACTTGGGTTAAAATCCTGAAATTATGTATTGGCATCTCTGTAAATTCTCTTTTTTTTCTTTTTCTTGCTTCTATTTTGAAGAGACAAAACGTAAAACCATCCAAATTCTTCAGCCCTCCTCTCATTTCTTATATTTTAGGTAATGTAAGTGTGGGTAATCTTCCATATTTCCTGCCTTTTGTTCTTCAAGAAATAAAGAATCAACCAAAAAGACAATATCTCCTTTTACATTCACTGAAAGAGGTAAGTCTTATCACAAGAAGACTACAAAAATGGGATTTTGTGATTCAATTATTGCTTTATTTGTCTTACAAAAAAATCTTTATTTCAAGAAAAAAAGAAAAAAAGCTTAACTTTGCTCTTGATGCATTTTTCTTAAAGTGAGTTGGTTGCTGAAAAGTTCTTGGCTTGGCTCATTGCCCAAAACCTGTTAAAATGAATTATGATTGTTATTTTGGTCCTTGGGGCAAAGCTGTAAATCAGTGTATGATGACATCATTATCACAAAGTTATTAAAACCTAAAATTATCTATTTTTTTTTTTTTTTTTCAGATTATTAGTTGTCAGTCTGTGAGTGAAATGGATGTAGATCATCTAAAACCTTATGTGGAAGATATTTGGTAAGTATTCACATCTGTTTTGTATATTTGAAGCAGAAGTGTGTCTGTGTAAATATATATATATATATATATATATATATATATATATATATATATATATATATATATATATATATATATATATATACACACACACACACACACTACACACACTAGTAAGGGATACCCAGTGTTGCTCAGATCTCTGAATAATAGTTTATTATTGACATTTATTCATATTTTTCAGCCATCTTATGGAAAATAATTGTTTATTCAATCTTTAATCTTTTAAAAACTTCACTTTTTTTTTACTTTTTTCTGTTACAAAATAACTGAATAAAAATTTTTTTCCATAAGATGGCTGAAAAATATTAAGTCAATAGCACACACAATTGCCCTTTAAAGTGATACTGAGTCTGTATGTACAAACGTCTCATCACTGGACTAATAGTGGGGATGGGTGGTCCATTAAAGCTGATTGTCTGTAGATGGGAAGAGATTATTTTTGGGTTATAAAACCACTCTAATAACTACCAGTAGTTATGATCATAATGTAAATACTATAAACATGTAGATGTGGCATAAATAAATATATATACTTAATATAGGTATATTTATCAAAATAACAAAATTAATAGATTTCTCACAGCTACTTTCTCACACATGCTAATGTATCGTACTTTAAATACTGTACACCCATCTTTGTTTACAATTGAAAGACACGTCACTGCTACTAATCCTGCAAATTTTGAAATACATCGCCAATGATTAAGAAGTTTTTGGGGAGGGAGGGGGTCCATAGATGAGGATTTTTCTGTATAATTATTTTGTCATTAATTATTGTAGTTTTTTAGTTTTAACCAGACACACACACACACACACACTCTCTCTCTCTCAAATATTTGAATAAATATTAAACTTTTTTCAAATAATTGTATTTAATATTCTTTTAAATTTACTTTTTTTTTTTTTTTTTTTTTTTTTTAAGTTACATTTTTATTTACTCTTGATGTGAAAATAAATTCAAGAGAATAGAAATTTTAAAAATATATACTACATATATAGCTTTTTGGAAGTATCAGCAGAATTAAATAGTAAAAACAAATGCTAATCCTAATCGGGGGGAGGGGATAAGAATTATTACCATCTGTTTTAATTCTGAGAATTTTGAATGCATTTTAATTTTACAATATAAATACTAATAATGATTCTTTCTTTTCTTTTTTTTTTTTTTTTTTTTTTTTTTTTTTTTTATAAAGCTGGTGTGGGTGATAATTGTATGTGTGTTTTTTATATATATATATATATATATATATATATATATTTTATTTTATTTTTGTGTGTGTGTGTTTTTTTTTTTTTTTTTCTCCTCCTTTTAAAGGAAACATTTGTTTCTTTCAGGACAATGTTGTTTGCTCATTGTGAATGTCCAGAAGAAGGAACTCGTAATGTAGTTTCTGAATGTCTTGGCAAACTGACTTTAATCGATCCTTCAACTTTGTTGAATAATCTCAAGAGCTACTTAAATTCACCTTCTGCGTATACTAGGAGTACTGTAGTTACGGCAGTCAAGTTCACCATTTCAGATCAGGTAAGTAGACTTTGATTGGTCTAGATGTGTAATCATTAAGACTAAATGGCTATCTTGAACACTCACTGGTATTAAGCTGGCTGTCAGTGTGTTTTTAACTTGAATCTTCACAAATAAGTTTGAATTTCAGTCAGGTTTGTGTTCACTTAGGCATAAATGCTCTCAGAAAAGATATGAATCCCCCCCCCCAAATATTAATAAGTTAAATATTAGGACATGTATCTGGAAAAAGCATTGCTATTCTCGAAAAAATGTTTATGAAATATACACTTATAAAAGAATAAAGTGAAAATAATTATTATTCTTGCAATACAAAATATTTCAGCTTGAAATAACCCACACATGGTTGATGACCTATAAAAACAAAACAAATCACAAATAAATGTAAATATATATTTGTTGATAAAGTTATTTGGCTAAAAAATATGGTTAGGTTCAAAAGATCGCACTGAATTCTAAGAAAATTTTGGTACAATTTTATCTTGATGAATCTAGGTTAAAATATAAAGTCCTCTTTGTATGCAAGTTTTAAAAAATATTTGTGAGTATGAACTGTTCTTGCCATTTAGTTTTGATGCCAATCTATATTCAGTCTTTTAGCATATAATGGGTTACAATTGAAAAAGGTAGTAGTGATGATCCTTCTCTTAAATGGAATGCCAACTAAGTCTAGGGAGCTTTGTCTATCCTGCTATTTAACCCATAGTTGAAGGAGAAGAGACAGCTGCATGCTTTTCTCAAGGACGTCTGTATGAAAAGAACAGATTAATGTAGAATTTGAACTTGCCTCTCCAATTTGAGTTTCCATGCCAATATCCCTTACGCTACCTGCACATTCAAAACTGATTTAGGGGTGTGAGTACAAAATGGTCTGGATACATTTTTTTGAATTTTTTTATTTTTTTTTTATTTTTATGATCCATATTTAAACAATATTTTGCCTTGTCAACATGCACATTGCCTTTGTTTGAAATGTTAATTCTTCTTTTTGATGTCTTTTTTTTTTCTAACTATCTTTTTTTTTCTAGCCTCAAGGTATAGATTCTCTGCTTCGGTCATATATTGGAGACTTCTTGAAAACCCTTCAAGATCCTGATCTGAATGTGCGCCGGGTTGCTCTGATTACTTTCAACTCTGCTGCTCATAACAAACCATCACTTATTCGAGAATTACTGGACGCTATTCTTCCACACCTCTATCATGAGACAAAAGTTAGAGTGAGTATTTTGATAGTTGCGTGTGGATTTTGATTAAAAATTGGTCTTATTTGAATCTTTCAATGACTGCAATAATAGAAGGTAAATAAGTTTTTCAAAAAACTTTCTAAATATCAGTAGTTGCCCACTTATTTTGTAAGGGGTGGGGGGCATCAAAGATCCCCCTGCAAATGCTTGAAATCATTGACAATACCAAATAATTTTGGTTTGTTGTTTGTTTTTTTTCCTATACACACACACACACATACATATATATATATATATATATATATAAAGATTAATAAAAAGTGAGAAGATTTGATCTTATAGACTTTAACAACTAGTCAAAAAAAAAAAACTTTCACTTTTCACTTAAGGAAGCACTTTCAAATTGCCAATATCTTGGTTCTTGCTTTTTGGCACCATTATTAGGTAAAAATTGATGATGGCTGGGCATCTGATGCCTGCATCTACACCCCACCCCAGTCAAATTTTAACATTGTTAATCTGTGCAAAAGAAAATGAGTGTAATCACTTTCTTGTTGCAAATCAGAAATATGTCATATTTTTTTTTTCCTACATTTTATCCATTAAGGCCATTGCCGATAAATATCACCAAGTTGCTTTTATGAAATGCAGGCTTTTCTTATTTTGGGAAATGAACTAATTACCTGGCATCTTTTTTTTTTTTTTTTTTTTTCTCCTTCCTCCTCCTGTTTATCCTGCTTCCAGAAAGAATTAATTCGAGAAGTGGAGATGGGACCCTTTAAACATACTTTAGATGATGGACTTGATATTCGGAAGGTAAGTACAAAATAAGTTTTTTTTTTTTTTTTTTTTTTTTTTGTGAATGGGGAAGAATGAATACTAATCTGACACTTTTGAAAAACAAGAATGAACCTTTCAAAAGTAGTTCTTTGCATATACAAAATCAAATATTAGGAAGAAAGTAGGTGGTGGGGAGTGATATTTTCAAAATTTTATGCATCTTCAAACAACCCCCGCAACAACCCCTACTCCCACCCCCCTTCCCCCCAAAATTTGAAATCCTTCCCATTCCCCTGATATTTTCTTCAGAGGATTTAAAAATTTATACAGATGTAACGAACATATGTTGCGATGTTTTGATTATATTTTCGCAGCTCGAAATTACCATCATTCTGTGGGCTGAAAATTTTTTTTTTTTTTTCTTGTACAATGCCCAATAGAAAATATTTAATTAAAATTTCATTATATTATTGTAATTTTTAAATAAAGAAACTTGGCTTTTCACCAATTGTGATAGGCTTTCAATAAATGGAGCACGTGTGTATGCATGCACACACACAATAAGCACAACTTAGACGCTTCTTTTTTTTCTTTTTTTTATATGCTGGCGGATGAAGCTCTAAGAAAAAAAAGTGAGGATTGAAGGATTTAAATTTAGATATTTGTATTCTGTGGAAAACATTTGGATCTGATTACACAAATTAATTTTACTAAAAAGTCTTACATTATATCATTTTTATTGTTATTTCTTCTATATCCTTTTTATGTCTCTAAATCTGTTAGAAAATATTGAATGTATCGGTATGATGTAAAAGCTACAATCTCTTCATTCTTTGATATAGACCAGTTGTAATGATATAGGCCTACTCAAGTTAGCAGTGTATGCATAGGTTTTATGAGATTTGTAGGCCATAATCACTTAATTATATAAAGAGGAGTTGAGGCTGTCGCCAAAAATAGAGGAGTTGGAGGTCAAAGTTTTTGTGTTCTGACTCCACGGCCCAGCTTTAAGTTCCTGTTTATAGATAACAATGTCTAAAAATTATTTCATAACAAAATAATTTAAATAGCTACTTGTATTCTAGTTTTGTCTTGTCTGATAATTGTTTACAGTTTAGTCTTTTAACCTCTTCAGTTTGTTTTTTCTCACTTTTTCTAGGCTGCATTTGAGTGTATGTACACTTTGCTTGATTCCTGCTTAGATCGATTGGATATATTTGAATTCCTCAACCATGTGGAAGATGGCCTCAAAGATCATTATGACATAAAAATGTTGACATATCTTATGCTTGTTAGGCTGGCACATTTGTGTCCCAATGCAGTTTTGCAGAGTAAGTTCAATTTTCTCTCTCACATCTTGGTGGTTTCTCCTCTATCTCTCAATCAAGACACCCTGCTTCTCACTATATAAGATACACAATTTATCAAGGAACATTAAAAAAAAAAAAAAAAAATTGTTTGGTCATTTTGTCCAAATTTGGGAAGTGATCATGCCAAGAACTTCCCCGCAACACTCTTTTTTTATAGCATTAAATTAATTTCATTTATAATTATAATTCAATCATTGTATGTGATTGATATGATAGAAAGCAACAAAACTATCTGGACGTGAACATTTCTTTTTTTTTTTTTTTTGTTTCCCTCCTTTCATAAAAAACATATAATCAAAACCTAGCTAAAAAAAAAAAATCTTTGGAGAAATCATTGCCATGGCAACCTTGCTACATAAAAACACTCTTGTCAATTTGAAATATACGTGATGCATACTTAGGCAATTGTGTCTCTATCGGTTCATGACTGACAAGGCAAAGGATTTTTCATTCCTTTCTATGGTAGACTGGTTGCCAAACAAAGCTATATTGCCTAGTCTCTCCAGTTATTCAACCTGTAGTTTGGGGAGAGAAGAGATGGATTTATACCTTTCCCAGGGATATTTGTGCTTAACTGAATGTAATAAACTCGACTGGAATTTGAACTTGACTCTTTCTCATTTTGAGCCGATATCCATTACACCACAAAATACATCCAAAGAATTAATTCAACATAAAATATTCAGACTTAACTCTCCACTTCAAATTTCATGGATGTAATCAGTTTATTAGGGTTTAGATAGTTCAGTTGAATTTTTGAATATTTTGTTTGTGTACTGTAAAATAAGATTGGACTCCAAAATTACTGTTATCAAATTCATGAACCAATACTTTAATCCACTAGGCTTACAGGACAATGGCCTAGTGGATTAAAGTGGTGGAAACAGGGCAACCAATAACTGAGCAGTACTAAAAAATAAGAATTAGTGAAGATATCCCTAGACCTGGGCAGTGGAACAAGAACAATCTACCACCATAAATTAGTGTTCAGTTTGGGATTCCCTGGATTGATATATACCTGATGAAGGCCAGAGAGTACAATGGCTGAAATGTTGATCATAGTGTAAATTATATATACACACACATATATATATATATATATATATATATATATATATATATATATTTATTTATTTTAATTTCAATAAAGGTGCAATTAATTTACAAATTCATGAATTATTTATACAAAATACAAAGGTTAATGATTTAATTGGCGAGAAATCCATCGTCGCAAACAATTCAAATAATATACAAAAACCCCGGACCTGTTTATGAATGAAAAGATCCTTGTTTTTATAAATTTCTGTTGCATAAGTTCTTATTATTTTTACAAGCTTTCATCTGTTCCTACAGACATCCTCAGGTATGGAATAGATTTTGTTCTTGTTTTTGCTCTCAGTAATAAGAGGACAACGAAAATATATGTATTGTAATCCGAAAAATGCGATTAGAAATGTGTTATTGTTTTTAGAGCATGCAGTCGCAACGCTGAGTTTGAATTTAAATTTTACGGTTGTGCGTTCTTGTACAAATATAGTGATGAGTGAATTCTTTTTTACTGGTAAATTTTCTGTCAAAGTGGCATGAACTTTATTGTTCAATAATTATAGTAATGTCGCACTTATTATCCAAAAGTTGCACATGGATCAGTTATTTTAACTTCAATAAAGGTGCAATTAATTTACAAATTCATGAATTATTCATACAAAAAACAAATACAAAGGTTAATGATTTAATTCATTTAGAAATCCATCGTTATGAAAACAATTCAAATAATATACAAAAACCCCAAACCTGTTTATGAATGAAAAGATCCTTGTTTTTATAAATTTCTTCACGCTCAAATCAAGTACGCTTTCTCAAATTTGGCATGAAACTTAAAAGAAATTTAATTTTTTCACTGTTATCCAAGTTTTGACTTAACTTTTTTAAATGCCTTTTGCTTCTGCTTTGTCCTTGTAATTCTTTTAAACTTTTTGCCTTGCAGAATTAGATCGTCTGGTAGAACCATTACGAACTACTTGTACTACTAAAGTGAAAGCACATTCTGTCAAGCAGGAGTTTGAAAAACAAGATGAACTAAAACGATCAGCAATGAGAGCTGTGGCTTCCCTACTTAGTATAACCGATTCTGGTAAGTTAAACAGAAATCATTGTCAGCTTTGATAAAATTCCTATGTTCTCATTTTAAGCCTCTGTTAGGTGTTGGGAGGGACCCTACCCCTGACAACATTTTTTCCTTAATATTGAGCGAGTGGCAAGTCAGATTCTCATGATTAGTCAAATAGCTTTCTGTCGAGTAACTACAAGAAGTTTCTGGTCCATATTATTTGTGTGCATTACAAGCATAAATTAAAGACTGTAGTGTAAAGATCACAGAAACATTCTTGTTCAGTGCTTGGAATGTGAGAAAAACAATTGAAAACCAGTTCTTGATCATAAATGGTTTTAAAAGATCATATTGAAAATGAAAACTATTTTTGAAACTTAAAACTTCACCTTATCTATTTAGACTTTTTTTTTAATGATTTTTCAAAATAAAACCTTTTTTTTATTTTGTTAATCCTATAAAAACCAGAAAGAATACTCAAGACAATAAAATTAAGAACTAAAATGATATATCAATATTTTAAATGGGGTGTTTGACAAACCTATGGTACTAATGCTGTGATTATGCCCCCCCCCCAAGTACTAATCCAATGTTAATTAAATATATTAGTCAAATGCTATTAATAAAAGAAAATGGTGCCACAAATAGTTAAATTTTTAGTGCAACATTTTAACCAATAAAGTTAACTTTTGAACATGAAACTAAATAATATTACGATGCAAAGACTTTGCTATAAAAGGTTTCTGATTGGGAATCTCACACATCAGGATTTTGTGTTGTGTACATGATCGAGGAGACACTTTGTCTTTATATTAATTAACATATAACCAAAAATATCAAGTAAATGCACAGAATATTTGTTCAAGGATAAATATTATATAAATCGTCTCTTAATATCCACTTGAGCTAGCAGCATGGCATTCATTCATTCATTAATTCATATTGTTCTCATACAGCTGCAAATTCTGCTAATTTATAAGGAACATGCTAACAGTGCATCAGTGTCGGATGTTTCTTAAAATGCACTTCTTACCTTCTCATCTCTTTTTCACAAGTCTGGATGCCATAAGAAATAAATATATTTGAGATTCCACTAGGACACATGAAAGCTCTCAAGGCCAGTTCAACTATGATATGATGGGCAACTATTTTTGGTTCCTACAATAAAACCAGTTTCTCTTGCTTTTCTGAAGATATTAGAAAGAAAGTGCATATTTTTGTAACCATTTCCCATCATTGTCTAAATTGTCTTTGAGCATAAATGTCTTATTTTACGAATAAGTGTCTTTGTGGCCAGCAGGGAACACTAAAAGCCTGATGCTGTATTATATTCCAAACGAGACAAATGGGAGCAAACATTTATTGGCTGGCTTACTAATTAGAGATTACAAATTTGCACCATAATTGTTTACCATTATTTTTAATTGAAGTAATGCAATGAAGATTATATATAGTTTGTTGTTGTGTTGTGTGCTGTTTCATTATCAATGATAGGCTGGGGTCAGATGCAGGGTTGGCACATCTTACTGTCTTTTTTTTTTTTTTTTTTTTAGCAGCAGCAGCACTGTTTTATGTTCATCTGCCATTTTTTAACTTATTTTCAAACTTATATGACGTTGACAAGTCAATCATCAGCTAATATACATTGTACACTGTCTGTACTACACAACGACCCTCCCCAGGAACCCTCCCCATCCAAACCTAATGGGGGTTCTTGGCTTACTAGAGAGAAGGGCAGAACTGCTGATTTCAGTAGCGCTTATTTTTTTTAAATTGTAATTATTTTTTTTTATGAGCAGTTCTTTTAAGTCAATTAATATCTTGCTAAAATCTTTTTTTATTCCTACATCATCCACTAGGGATTGGAGATTGTTTTTTCAGCAAAGATGGCTCAGCAATTAATCTTTATGAAAACATAATTTTCGATTTTTATATATATATATATATATACACACACACACACACACACACACACACATAGAATAAAATTTAGTCATGGGAATATTGGTAGTTATTACAAAAAGAATGACATTTCCTTGGATTTTTTTTTTTTTTTTTTTTTTTTTTTATAAATAAAACAAAACCTATCCATTATAAAAGTAAATGAATATGTACTGAAATTTGCATTTAAATTGGGTAATTTCCTGATTTTTGGTAATTTAAAAAAAAATACTACAACACCCCCTGGAAAGTACATTGGCTGACCAAGATATGTAGACCCACCAGTTAGTAGACTAAAAGACAAGTGCACCAAAATACAACAGCTAGCTGACTTTGTAACCTAAATAACATAAATCTGCTCATAGAGCAATAACAAGAAGAAAAAGATTTTGATTCCATCACACTTTTACATTGTACAAGATGCTGAAATAATTTATCAGTTTGACATTGTTTTATTGGATACTGAAGGATTTTTTTTTACATTCTAATTTCAGGCAAAAATCCAATTGTGAATGAATTTCTTGTACAAATCAAAGGCAACACTGAGCTGTCGGCAATGTTTGATGCAATACAGAAGGATGTGAATACAACTGGCTCAGATTCCCTGATGGATACAAGCTGAACGACTTTTCTCTCCAGCCCTTTCTAGCCACACTTTTATGTCTTATCATCCTCTGTGCCTTTATTTCCAGCTTCTCTTCATGTTCTCACCAATAAATATTCAAAGAGGAAATAAGAAAATACCAAAAACCTTTTTAAAAAAAAAAAAAAAAAAAAAAAAATTTAAGTCCCTTCCCTCTTCAAGCAAAGATAGATTTTTTTTTTTTTTTTTTTTTTTTTTGTTTATGAATTAAATAGAAAATAAATTCTCCAAGTTTCAATTAGAAATTAATGTCACCTAATTACTTAACACACTTTGGCTGAGTTTTCGTTGCTCTCATTTCTTTTTCTTTCTTACTTCCTCATCTTTCTCTCATGATATAAGCTTCTACACATGAGCTTCTCTCCCTCTGACCATCTTTTCTTCTGCTCTCTTGATACAACACCTTGTTTTTATGCCCCTACCCACTTCTTTCCTGTCTTTGACACCTTCCTTTCGCCAGCTGTGCTTCATGGCAGTATTTGTTAAAATCATTCATACAAGTTGCATATCGTGCGGTTCTGCCCACAATTGGTGATAACAACAACAACAATGATGATGATGAGCATTTTAAAAAAGAAAAAAAAATCTTTGGGTTGAATTTTTCCAAACGCAGCCTTTCTCCTCCCACTTTGCCGGCCATTCTTTCCTCGTTCTACTTCTGTGGATGGTGAGGAAGACGAGGAGAAATTTGTCCATTTCCTAGGCCCCCCTCAATATTAAACAAAAAATAAAACATTTTTTTTTAAGGAATGACAAAACAAGTCTTAAATGAACATATAAATCTTCAGCAGATAAGATTTACACATAACTCTCTCTCTCTCTCTCTCTCTCACACACACACACACACACACACACACACACACACACACACACACACACACACACACACACACACACACACAAAAAAAAAGCAAAAAGAAACTAAAAACACAATCCCCCAAGTGTTTCTTGGAATTGTTAATGTAAATTCAAGGATAACCAAAATACAGTGTTTCAAAGCGGCTTCATTGTGGTGTTTGTGTTGTTTTTCTTACTGTCTTTTTTCTTCTTTTCCCTCTTACTTTTGTATTGCTGTGTCAAACAGCTTTTTTATTTTAAATGCCATAACTTGAAGTAACATTTCAGTTTCTCTTAAAAATTTGATCATTGCTTAGAATACATACAATATAACTGCCTTGTAGTCAGTTTTGTCTTTTATTTGAGAGGAATTGTTATATGATGACTACATTACCAAAACTGACTTGTGCTGGGTGATTTTTTTACAATACTGAAAAATCTCAATTTTGGGTGTTCCTTGTTTTCTTATAAATGGTTGAATGCTGGCCCAAATATAATAGTATATATATATATATATATATATATATATATATATATATATATATATATATATTGTGCAGACCATTGATAGTTATTCCTACAGTGACTTTTTTTTGTGATTTTGGGAAAGACAAGTTTGTTCGATAGGTATCTATTCCAAAGTTTTAAAAATTGTTGCCAACTTTGTTTTCAGACTTTTCACCAATAAAATAAATTTAAAAATATTAATATAGATTTATAGTCCATTTCACAATTTACTCCCAGGTAAAGAGGAGACTTGAAAGGCCAGAAATGGGGGTTCTATGGACAAATGCTAAGAATACTATGGAGAGAATGTGTGTAAAGAGGAAGTTTTATGGAAAATAGGACCAAGAAGAAAACAATGCAATCCGAAAAACAGCTTAATTTTCTGGGTCACATTACGAAATCAATAATATATCACAGCTGTTTGAGGTTTCCTACAGACCCACTGAACTTAAATAAAGTCAATTCAGGTTTCCTATGGTAAAAATTTTCTTTCCCAAGTGAAAATCATCACAAAAATAGCAAAAGTCATTTTGTCACAGCTTATTTTCTCTCAAAATATGGGTTTTCATACTTTTTGGGGTAAAATATTGAAAAATGACTGTTTTATCATCACCTAAACGAATATCAAGGAAACTTTTGATCTGAACCCCATGAAACTAGGTATTTTCTGAAAGCAAAAGATATATTCTTTCATTTAAAAGTAAAATTAGCTGGTGTAAATGACTCAAAATTTTTTTCAGTGGGTAAAATGTGAAAAAATAGTGAAAATTTTGCATTTTTTTTCTTGTTCTAAACAAATATTTCCCCCCCATTAATGGGAAATTAAATTTTTTTTTTTTTTTTGAAAATCAAAAAGCCTAGATCATAATCAAACTATTTCAGGCATAAAATTGAGAGTTTTGAAGGAAATCAACATTCGAGGGGTTCAAAAATGCGATAAAAATCCATTGTTAATTTTCAATTATGACTGCCAAGGGTTAAAAAAAATTGACACCTGGCCACGGAAATCTTTAGTAAAAGGCAAGAGATTTATCTGCAATTCCTAACCACCAGAAACCAAAAGTTTTTTTTTTTTTCCTAAAAATAGTGATAAGGGAAAATAAACCTAATTGACTTTGACGTCTAGGTCAAAGGCCAGCCAGCCAGCTAGCAATAAACGGACGGCAAACCTTAGAACAAGTTGTAATAAAACCCACCACTCCCAGATAAAAGCAAAGGGTGAATAAAAAAGGCTTCACAATTACTAGGGCTTCATATAACCTATGTTTGAACAATGGCTTGATAAGTTTTGTTTTGTTTTAACACCCCGTGACCGGTGATGACAACAACACTTAGCAGACAACATTGTTTTTTTTTTCGGCCAAGATATCTTTTGTATTTCCCATCGCCGGTCCATTTAGCCTTTCTTTTTATTCAATGATGTTCATGCCAAATGAAAGAGAAAGGAATGAATTTTGAATGATGTTATTTTGAAGCGAAAATGAATATTTTTTCATTAAAAAAAGGGGATTTTTCTCAGAAAATTGTGCATAATTTCTTAATGCTAATCGCCGAAAGTGACATTTTCCACAGCCAAATCAAGATTAATTACCAGTGAATAATTCCATGTGCAAAAATAGCCGTCTGGATCCTATAAAGGTCGCCCTAAAAGGTCCAGAAGTTTACTAATTGATCGAAAACCTGTTGCGCATAATTGTATTTTTCACGGTCAGTTTCCATTATTTCATCTTGATATTATCATTTTCGGACAGCCAAGTCATCAAGGATTCAGGAAAACACTTTGACATAGGTTTTCTTTAAGAACTTTACATTCTATGAGGTGTTTAAAATGTTACTGATGAATGAGATTTTTTGCCGCATATTTCGTTTACGCGCCATGTTGGATTTTCCTATATGACAAAAACAAGGGTTTTAAACAGCTGTGATATATGACTTGGGTAAAATGTAAAACAACTTTTAAATGGTTAAATAGACATAATCTTTTATGTATACTTTAAAATGATTTTTTATGCAAAATGGTCATCTCTCGTTTGCTTGGCCTTATCACTTGAACATTTTGAAATATCTTAGTTATGGAAAAGGCAACAAATAAATCTACAGATTGTCACAAGTATATCACAGATTTATCAAAGATTTCACTTTGATTTCTAAATTTTATACTTTTTTTTCTTCTTTCCTCAACCTAAAGACCCCCCCCCGGCCCTTTTCACCTCAGTCTTGGAAACAGTCTTGGAAAAAAAGAAAAAAAAAAACTATAAAACATGGAAAGAGAAAAGCCTTGCAGGATTTTAATTTGGACACAGGTTCTGTTATAAAAAGTATGTTTGGTCAAAGAATACTTTGACTGGCTGTATTAAATAGTTTTCAATGAAAAAGAACAAATGATTGGTTTATTTTAAGTCCTTTACATTGCCAGTGATATAGTCACTACCTAGGGACAATCAGAGAAGGTGCAGTTACTATACTTTCAAGTTGATTATTCCTATCATTCATGACCCTGTGGCAAACAAGTTCTTTCTGATCTCTTTTTGAAAATCTCTTCTGGCACTTCTTGGGATGTCCTCAAAGATTAGTGTTAAGTACTGGTGAAATAAGTTTCATACGGAATTTCCTGATGAATATTTGACTGGTTCTCTATTTGCTTCTTCCTCTTTGCTAACATTGGTAAAATAACTGAAGAAACAAAAGCTTCGCACAAAGCTGGAATGGCAACTGATCTTGATCTTTGTAAATCACAAGAGGTATCTTGAAACTAAACTTCTTCACAGTAACCAACATCATGTACTGTGAAGAAAACACTGACCAGTCACTCCTTTCAGCCAAATTCCTGATCCCCAAAAATTTAACTTGTTAAAACCTAAAAACTGAGTAACAGTGACATTGGAAATAATTGTTGGATGCAGATGTTAAATGTGCTGTATGAAAGACTTATCCTTGCATAGAATATGACACATGGTTGAAGTTTAAAGTGCTAAGTTTCTTTTGATTACAAATTGTTGTTGGTTATGAAAAAAAAAAAAAAAGGGTTGATAGTATGCCTCTTGACTCAAAAGAGAAGGGATTCAAGTATATATATATATATATGAACAATTAGTGATATGCTGGTGGTAGTAGTAATAAATGTCATAATACTAGTATATTTTGGTCATTTAGTAATACCTTCACCTCTCTCCTTAAAATTGTAAAAATTTGTCTTTGATAATTTCAATCAATCTCTATTCTGTTCACTCTTGGTATTTAAATATAACTGAAGACACTAGACCATTGCTTTAACTAATGGCCTAGTCAGAAATGATGTTTACTAAAATTTGTCAGAATTGGTATTTGTGGGCTACAATGTTTCTCCACACACAAAAGAACTTGACAAAAGTTAATTACACTTCACATTTGCATTGAGAAGAAATGTGCATTAATAAAAACATTTCATGCATAGGGAAGTGGTTTAAACTGTTCTCATCATTTTAGATGGGAGAAGGGGAGATTCCAACCATAGGGCTGCACCTTTCTCATTGAATGAAGAGAGGTGGGGTCGGTGTAATCTAGATGTCAACTGTGGTCGTGGCACCTGGGCAATTTTTGTCATTGGCTCATATGTATGTGTATGGTGTTCCCCACATAAAAACGACCTTGCCTAGTGGAAAGGCCGGATAAAGAAAGTGGAAGTATAAACTAATTGATAAAAAAATACTAGCCTGTTCGTTTATTCAGTTTATCAGTTTATTTTTTAAGGAGCCAAGGGAACAGATACTTTCTGAAACACAAAAAGAATTGGTCTGTGTTAATATAATCAACACATGCTTTTACCGAATTTTTCATTTTTTTTTTTTTTTTAATTCTGGGTGATGTGGAATTGGTGAGCCGAGTTCAAATTGTGGCCGAAATTGCTGTGTTCACTTAGGACTAACCCCATTTAGGGGGGGGGGGGTTAAAGAATGCATCTCATTCCCCAGCTATGGGTTCAATTGCAAGGATAAATTGGCCTCTTGGACCTTAAGTGGCAGCCAGCATTAAATTTCAGAACCATGGGGACCTCAACGGGAAAGCTACCCCACTAGAATTCCCAAAATATGACAATTCAAAAATATTAAAGAAAAGAACCCATTAAGGTGGTTAAAAAGCATGCATTATACACGGGTAATTTTTTTTTTTTTCTGGGTTGGTAAGATTTATGCCTGTTCGATGACCATAAACTATATTCTCACGGTAACTCAAATGGTTGTCATTGGAAAAGCAATACCTGAGTGATGTAAACACTTGCGAAACGAAGATGAATACAATTTAAGATAGGAAATAATCTATTGATTCTTCATTTATAAAAGGTATTTGTTGATTTTAGGACTAGGTTTTGCTCTTCGTGTATCGACAAAATGGAAGAAAGTTAGGCTATGTAGGAGGAGGCCCAGGGCAAAGGAGCTACTGTAGTCGGACAAGTACGGTATCTAACTCTTCGTATTAGATATTTTACGGTATGTAGTTTTACTCGTCATTTAACTACGGTAGGCTTGTATTGCTTAGCAGGGATCGCATTATAGACGAGCAATATGGGAAAAACAAAAAAAAAGCCCCTGCTCACTACTATACATTAAGTAGACTTCTACACGAGTATATACGGTATATAAAATTGTAACTTGTCTCATTCTTTCTACCCTGTTAAAATTATAGCAACCCCTCTATAACTCACCTGAATACTTCCTGTCCCCCCTTAAGAATTCATAGCATTCCTATTGAAACATTACCGCCCATGTTGAAAATCACTGTTTTAAAGTAACCCAACTCTGCGGGAAATTGTTTAAACACATGAATATATTTTCTCATGAAAACTTGAAAATCGTTAAATGTAACATTCTTCCTGTTTATTTATCTTCCTGAAAGATGTTTGTGTAGATTTAGTTACAAAACAATTTGATCCGATCACGTGTTTTATTGCTAGCAAATCATGTCTTAATTTAAGAGTCCAGTAAAATCCAGAAAACAATCTTTTTGATTGCTTAAAAAACGTCTCCTTAAAAAACCCATTTATTTTCACGTAGTCGTATGAGGCTGCTTAACATAGACTTTACACGCGGTGAGCATGTACCCTGGGATACGATCTTCTTCATCTCGGTGAAACAGTCTTCCAGTTTTTTCTTCTCTTGTCGATTACTATTACGTTCTAGTTCCATTCCTACGGTCTTCAGCAAAACACACAAGCATTCAATTCTATCTTCGGTTCTGGTTGAAAGCAAGTTGCACACAAATTGAATAACAATGTTCTCTTTTAGAATATGTAATTTAAAAAATTCTCCAATTAACTTCATGTTCCCAAGGGTCCTCTTTTTCGAGGTGGAGGTCAACTCACAAAGTTTCTTTTGCAGCTTTATAATTCTGGTTTCGTCAACTTCAGCGCTTCTTATCATCTGCTTCGTTTGGTTTATTGTTTCGTCTTCCTGTTTGATTTTCTCCAATTCGATCTGGCATCGACGGTTAAGCAGCTTGTTGAAGTTGACAGTCTCACCCTGCCTTGTGGCTGAAGGAACACGAATTAAAGAGAGAGAGCGGCAGAGGTAAGCGTAAGAAATGCCAAGAATTGGATAATTGGATGCCTTCTCGAAGAGCAGATCAATTATAGCTTTTAATTGACTCTCTGTGTCGATTTGAATACAGCGTATCTCTGACAATAACGGTTTGTATCTTTCGGCCATTTTGCTGGAGTCTGTGAAGCAGTTCCCTTCCTTGCTTTCGTCACTCCGGCTTTTCTCGGCCGGTCTTCGATCTTTAAGGCCTTTGAAAAAAGGGTCACTACACGAAAGGTTGAACGTTTTTGAGGAATACGGCATTTTTAGCAATTCTCTTGGCAAATCTGGTAGACATGATGGCATTAAAAGAGAAGCTCTGGTGTGCCGAAGTTGCAACAAAAATTCTCTGTTGTATTTCTTAATGCCTCCTGCGTCTGGAAAACACGACTCCGGGCCCGATTCTCTGTTGGCTGATTCGATGTTCGTCGGCGCCGACTCGGGCGAGAATTTCCATTCAGGCGACAAGCTGGGCATTGCAGCTTTGGTGGCAAAACTGGTAACAGGTTCAATTGAATTCGGTTGTTGGTGAAGCATTTTTTTTATGGCTGATCTTTCGGTTCCTATTTGACTAAGGATTAACGAGTTCACTCCAATACTTGTGTGTGTGTAGCCTTTTACGCATAAAAGTAACAGTTGTTCTATAGTTAAATAGCTGACCGACTTTTAGATTGTTAAAGCAGATTACGATCAGTTTGACAGACGCCATCGAAAATTATTTCAAACCGAACGCTTCAAAACACGTAAAGAAATTGATGGCATTCTTAAACGCGTGTAAATGCTGACAATTCCGTACACTGTAAGTTTTTCCTCATATTTTTTTCGACTTTACATGACATAGTGTTGTTTTGATTTTTAAAAAAAGAAGTTTAAATCACGAAAGAATTTTCTTTTTAAAAATAAGAAAAAATATTTCTTTATACATTTCAAGCATTGCATGTATTACATACATGCTTCCGCTATGTATTTAGCGATTCATGATAAAATACAAAGAAGCATCTGCACTTTTATTGGTCCTGATCTGGCATCTCAGCGTCAGTCACTTTCCAAACGCCGTACGTAACTGTAGTTTCCCTGTGCCGAAATTGTACGAACGTTTGACGAAACTAAATATTTATTAAAGACTAAAATTCTATTATAATTGTACTTGTCCACCTTCCTTTCGTTAGTTCGCACGACTGTTACGCCCTGCCAATACCTCATAAATAATGGCCAATTCCGTTTTGATCGCGAGGAGAAAAGACACACCTTGGCTTCAGTGAGAAAATGAAAGAAAGAAGGGAAGATGGACGTGTTTAACGTTTATTTCAGTGAAATAGAAAAAGTTGTCAATTTAAATCTTTTCATTTCTACCCACTTCTTATAATAATGACTAGTATTCATATTTTGTTAAAGTTGTTAAGCTCAAATATTTAATGAGGCGATAGGGGAATTTCTATGGATATTTTATTAGCAAAGAACTCGCCAAAGAACTTTGATTTTGCGAATTTAATCGCAGTACTAGATTGGCAGCTAGGTCTCATCATTTTACAGTTAAAATGGCTAGATGTAACCGTAAGCTTTATGCCAACAGTTTTTTTTTTTCTCTCGGACTTCTTGCTTGTGACTCACTTACTTTCCAGTCAATTTTGTCCTTCAAAAATTTAAAGTCAATATCAAGCGTTATATTGTGTTTTTTTAATTCTCACTTTTTTTAATATTCTCTCTCCTTAATAATTTTTTTTCTTTTTCTCATGTTCTTTCACACGCTGTAATAACCCTTTGTGTCTTAGTGTCTTTATTGCTTTGCTTGGGGTGAAATGATAAAAAAGAAAGATTATCCTATCAGACCAAAATGGTGGCGCCCATGAGAAATCGTCTTCAGTGTCTTATTATTTACTTCTAGTACATGGCAATTTATTATTTTTCCTCAAACGGACCGGAACAGCCAGGCGACAATGCTATAAATATATGCAACGAAAAGGTATAGTTTATGTTCAAGTAGTGTAAGGGATAACGGCACGAAAAGTGGACTCGGCAGGCTGAGTTCAAAATCTGGGCGCGTCTGTTGCGTTCATTTTTACACTAATACCATTGGAAGAGACATGAATCCATCTCTTCTCAGCCCCTTCCATCAGTTCGAAATTAAATAGCAGAGTAGACTGAATTTTCTAACCTTGATTAGCAACCAGTCTGTGAGAAGGAAAACATTGAATTCTAAACTATAGAAAAGGCAACAGTAAACCATTTCACTATTTTCCCCAAGAATTCATGGCAAGTCACAGATAACAAAGAAAAAGAAGCTGTGGAGAGTCATGACCCCTCTACTTCTTGAAGGGGTATAACATTAAAAGATTATTTGGCTACTACTAATGCGTAAGCATATTTTCAAGTTTAGTTTGTTTTGTTTAACGGCGCATCAACTCCTTATGGGTCATTTAATGCCGAAATTTAATTTTCTTGAGAGATTTGACAATTTTTTTTTATAAAAAATATATTAAGGGTAATTTTTCCCTTCCTTTTCCAATAATGTAATGCTGGTAATTTTTTTTTTCTATATATTCGTACTACAAAAATATATTTTTATAATGTTTTGTCGCCAGTTAAGGGTTTCACTATTTGCCCATAGATGTCTATAAATAGAAATCTATGAATTTGTTTTGCGCATGCTCGAAAAAAAAACAAAAAAAAAACATTGAAAAATCACTTTTTTATGTTGAATGTGTTCAGTTAACAAGGAAAAAATCTCAAGTTGAAGTTAAAAAATGCCGCACAAAAACATTGATTTATTTAAAATGGAATGATCTGTCTATTATTATGACATGTCTCTAATTTGTATTTAGGTACATTTTATTTATTTTCATTTTTTCTATTTGAATTGTTCACCTATATTGCATATGGTCGGTTATTGTACATATTTAACATGAATACTACGTTATGAAAATTGAGATGTAGTAAAGTGGGGCCCATATATCATAGATTCGTGGAGAGCATGAGACCCTTACACCGGCTCTATTCGTACGCAAAATGATTTTTTAAAATTTGCAGTCAAAAGAGAGCAAAAACTTTTCATACGTACCTGTTTGCTCCATGCAGTAATATCTTTAACTATAATTTAGTCTGACCACATTTTTTCAATTTTATAGCTCAGTTCTGTCTTCGTATTTTTCTTTTCTCAACAAATGTCTAGAAATCTTGAATTTTAAATTTGAAAATGTTAAAGGGAGGTAATTTGGATTTTAAAGGAGAAATTGTCTCCCTTACACTGAATTTTTTTTGTTTTTAATTTAATTTTTTAATACTAAAATTTCACCCAATACAAGGCTCGAGAGCCACTAAAGATAGTCGGTTATAGTCAAAATGGTAATGATGAATGGAAGTGAAGATGATGGGATATGAAGATAAGGAAGAAATATGACGTGAATTTTATTTAATACTTAGCTGCTTACGGCCACACACGTTGAAACACCGGTTCCCGTACGATCACCGAAGTTAAGCAAAGTCGAGCCTAGTCAGTATCTAGGTGGGTGACCGTTTGGGAATACTAGGTGCTTTAAGCTCGGATGTGTCAGTAGTCTAATGGATAACAGCTCGTAATTTTTAATCGGAGAGCCGAGTTACATTGGATTTGTTATAGTCACTTTTACGCAAATACCCTTCTTGGGAAAAGTATGAATCCATAAATTCTCCCTCACACCCAGCTATGGGTTAATTAGTAAAATTTGTATCACTAAATCATTATTATCTCAAAAAATAAAAATTCTTACAATCTAAATATATTTTCTGGTTTAAATAACCTGCAAAGGGTTGATAAACCATAAAATAGAATTAATCAATAATACTTAGCTGCAAGGGGTAATTCTTGCAGAAATACCTCTCCCATTGCACTAAGATTAGAGTTAGAATCAATCATTGATACTAGAGGCGCTCCAAAGGAACCGAGTTGAGGTTATACGTGTAAGATTCTCACTTTAAACTCAACCATGTGCCATATTCCTTTTGGAAAAGCAGAACCAATTGTCAAGAACCGAATCGCTGTGGTGGTGAATTTGATTTCTTAAGTTTTTAACTAAACACTGACCATTTATGGACACACTTCAGATTGCTTGAGGAGACGCAATTAAAAAAAAAAATATAACGATTCTGAGTATATTTAATTTCAGCGTTTCAAATGAAATTCTGATCTACATCCTGGTTGGGCTGGTTCATAACAGCGGATTTCATTTGCTCGAAAATTGGTTTCCCGAGAACCGTTAAAAAAATCGAATCTTCACTTCATCAAATTCAAATGGTTCAGTACACTGATCAAAACGTAGAAAATTAAAGGAAAAGAACTTTTTTAAAAAGTTATGTATCATTTCAAAATATAAATAGATAAAATGACTAAAATATGAAATTAAGTAAATAAATAAAAATTTTTTGCTTACCACCACCTGACGATAAACACAGGTGGTGCGTTATTTGAAAGCCTCTTTCCTCTTTGATTTTCAGAGTAGCAGGACACGTTTCTTTTCGCTTCGATAGACGCGAGGCATGTAAATTTAAATATTTCTAAGTAGATTGATTTGAACTGTTTATAACTTCAACTTCGTTTTTTTCTCTATCCTTTTATAACCTTGTTAATAAGTTTATCAATTGCTGTCTGTTCGAATTTCATGTTTTGTACCTTTTTTACCCAGACTCACACGAGTCCAACAAATATTGTTTGCGCCAGGAGGCATAAAAAATGAATAACTTCCATTCCTGCAGAAAATAAAAATAATAATACGAATTATAAGATACTTTTTTTAGTATTTAATTTATTTATGCATGTATTTTGGATAGGACAAATATCTAAATGTGTTTTTTTTACTCGTTTTTAATGAAGATTTCAGTGATAAATTTATGAAAAGAGAAGAGATTCATGACTAAATAAATAAGCAACAATCGAATTAACTTTTGTAATGACGCCCTGTTGGCATATACAAGAATAAGATGTGCAACACGAAAAACTTCTTTTTTTTTTTGTCGTTGTTTGCACCCACCGCGGTAATAGGCGGAAAGAAACTTACGGCCCAAAGAAAACTGCTACTACAAATATACTGCTACGGGACTCAAAGTTATAGCTACAGACTGTACCCGGGGTATCACACATAATACGGGCTGTTCAGAAGAATCTTAAATCTGCAAAATATGAAGTTTCACATAAGTGTTTATCTATTTCAAACAAACACATGTTTTGGATATCGACCTCGATGTCTTGATTTTAACTGCTAAAAGAATTATGTTTTTTTTTTTTAGCAGTCCTCTGTTCTCTTTCTCGTTATGTAATGTATTTCTTATATAAAGTATGTTTTTATAATGTTCAATTGTCTCAAGCCACGACTCAATTTGAGGAGTCGTTAAATTTCACCCACCTAACATGTTATCGGAGACAGAAATATCGTTTTTTTATGGCTGGAACATAGACTTTGAAGTCTAGAGTTCAAAGAAACAATCCACTTGGGTGATGAAAAAGAAAATAATAAAAGAAATAAATGAGTCAAGTGGCACTTCGTCGGAAACCAAAAGTTTCCGCTGGCAGAGTATAGTCCCGGTTAGGGCTAGGGACAGAGAGGAGCTGTCCGTCCAACCAGTCACATCGGTAGCAATCGCTCGATTGAAGTAAGAACTATCGTAGCAACCTATATGTCACCTACTTACTACCAGGGAGAATATTAGATACCGGAGATATAAACACCAAATTATTGAGAACCAGATTCGTGTTTTCATTTCTTCCGTTTCTTGTGAACGCACCGCCAGTGTTTTCCAGTCTTTGTACACGCCGGCGCGAACGTGGCAATTGATTTGTCCCGTCGGTGAAAGACGGAGAGTGCACCCCCCCCCGTTGTAAGTTCATCATTGTTGGAAATAAAGTTTTTGCGATTTCAAAATAAATTAATATTCTACAAATCGCGAGAATTTTTCCTTCCAAACAAATGTCGTTAGAAATTCTGAAACTAGCTAAATGAAAAGTCACAGGAAAAGAAGAAACAAGAAAAAGTCACAGGAAAAAAAAAAAGAAACAGTACAAGACTAGCACGCAGCAGACAAAAAACACAAAACAAAAATAAAAACCTCTTATCCAAAAAATTGGACAAAATCCCAGTGTCATAAATAAACTGAAAATTCAAGAAATTTTTATTTCAAATTTTAATGTCAAACTGAGACTTCACAAAAAGTCAGGTCTTATGGGATAGAGGTTGGTTGGATCGATTTACTATGGATTTCTGTTGCAAACAGAGCAGACCCATAAACTCGTGAAGTGCCCGACAGAAATAGATCGCTAATAACGGCTGTGGTATTCGATAATAAACAAATCAGTCGCTTCTAGGGGGTTTACTTTAAAGTTAAACATACTTTTTATTAACAAACAATCGTAACAATAATGATTATTTATCCGCTGCCCCACGCAGCAAGATGTGGCACAAGTCCGAGTTTAAAGTTGGGTATCCGAACCCTTAGGCTCGGGCAAAAATTCCCTATAGACCACGTAAAAACGGAATCAGTTTCCCAAGGCGAGACTCTGCCCTTAGGCAGAGCTTCGTCTGGGTGATACCCTCTGACATGAACTGTATTGTTCTGTTTTTGTTAGCTAGCTGCTGCTGCTAATGTCTTTATCCTGATCACGTTTATTTCACGTTCACGTGAGATACCCGACACTACACTAGCTACCATAAATTAATTGCGACTTTTTTCTGTGACTTTATTACCGGCCATGGAAATTGTAGGTTTTAGGAAGTTTATAAAACACAATAGTTGATTTGCTGAGTTACACTTGAAGATGCAGTAAATCGTGAAAAGAACTTGACAACTATTTATTTTAATCCTGTCTTTATAATAAGTTCCATAGGCTCCATAAAATCAAATTAGGAGCTGAGCTCGAAACTGACTGTCAATTTGATGTTAACTGGGGCAACAAATGGCTCGTTAATTTTAACGCTTCCAAAACAAAACTGCTTTTTTTTTAAAAATCATCTTAGGGTGTTGTATACTGTCATTTCTTCTTACTAAGACTCACCATAAACACTGCCTCCTACATCCTAATAATATTAAGCAAATATATCAGTTTCGATCAAGATTCCGCATTGTTCAGACCTATTGTTTTTACTTCATTGTTTTATATCGTTCTTATTCATTTCTTATTAACACGACAGCAAAATACAAAATGGCGTTTGAAGCGCAAAACTAATAACTCTCACAATCCAGGATACACAAAAGAAAAAAGATGGAATTTCTACTTCATCCAAAAGAATTGAATTTCACTGCGGAAAACTTAGCACAAATGTGGATAAAATGGCGCGATCAATTTGTCGGGGATAGCTCCTCCTTTAGTTCCTTAATCCTTCAACAGGGGTCTCTCTCCCCTGTCTATAAATACTAGCTGACCCTTCGCCTCGATCTCTTTTTTTCCTCAGGCCTTCAGCCTTACCACCTCGCAGATGTGAGCGCTCACAGATACAGCGTTTCCCAAATTCTGGGAACACGCTAAGAACAATACACGTACGTACGAACAGTGACCACAACACACACACATAATATTCACCACACGCACTCTGTCCATGTAACTTTTCTTGTTATTAATACATATATTTGTTTACATATATTTATATATATTCCAGAATAAATAAATGGCTACTACATGTCAAGAAGACGAAAACCCCGCTAAAAAGTTCATCTGGATAACCTCCTGCGGATGTTGCTCAGGTTCACATAGCAAAGATAACTGTCCGGCATTTTACAAAAACTAAGAATTAAGGAAAAAGGGGACCCGTTGGTAAAATTTGCAGATCCAAGAAAACGTCAGGCCACGGAAAGTGTGACATGAACGTATTACCTGTGAGAATATATAAAAATATTACTCCAAAAACAAAGTTACATAGAACATCAGTAAAACTGAATGCTTATGAACAGTCCAGTGATAGGAAGTTGCACAGCAACACTACGCAACAAATATTCGGAATTATTAACACACTTCATAGCGGTAAAGACCAATTCAAACGCAGTCCTCGATACGAAAACATCTGAAAAGCTAAAGCTAATAAAAAGAATTTAAAAAATAAATTAAAAAAAAAAGACATACTGAGTCTATTAGAGGAATATGAACACTGTTTTAGGGAGATGGGCAAATTGGCGTTTAAGCACCATAGAAACCCAGAAATAATACCCGTTATAAATCCTCTGAGAAACATTCCATTTGGTATGAAACGAAAGCTATAAAAGGAACTGGAAAATATGACAAAAATGGGAATAATAAAACCTGTAGAGGAACCTACAGACTGGTTAAACTCCTTAGTAATAGTAGCATAGAATCTAGCTTCTACATTTAGTTTTCTCAACCCATTAAAAGTGGATCACAGCAAAAATATATGCAACTAATGAAAATAACCCTTTAAAACCGGCTCTGCAAATAATTTTCTGGACAACGTTTTGTGATTGGTCGATAAACGTAAAATTCTTATTTATGTGTGTTTTCAACTACGTACACACGCATCATTCTGGCTCGTGATTGAGTTTTGAGATACAATTGTGTCG